CTAGATCCACCCCTGGCAGCAGGGTGAGGGAAAACTTATTTTGTGCAATGTTGGGTGACTCTTTGGCTATGTTCACACTTTTTTGCTCAGATCCGTTATTTGTTAAATGTGGCTGGTGTGAACATGTCACGGTCCTCAAGTGACCCACATCATAATAAAAATTACATGAGTTCTGATATAGATGTTCACACTGAGGTCACATTGAATCAGACCTGAATCTGATTTGGGTCACTTTCATACATGGTCCAAACCAGATTCAGGTTTAATTCAATGTGACCTCAGTGTGAACAGTTATATCAGAACTCATGTGATTTTTATTGTGGTAACCCTAATTGAAAAAGATCCCATTCCATTGCTGCCTTTGAGTATTTACTTGCTTATCTAAATTGTAATACAGTTGGTACCAGACAGAAGGAAAACATTGCGACTGGTGACTTGGTGATCGGGTTTGCACTTGCTGCCATCTTGGCAGTTTTACTGAAGCTGGAAAATCCTAATTGATGCTCGGGTGGACTCCAACAGGGGTGTAGCTGAGGTGGGACAAGCAAGCTGTAAACCACCAGCACTGACACGACTATCCATTTAATGAAACAATACATCTCAAAGATTTAGATGAAGTGATGTGAACTATTTCAGAGGGAGAAGTTGGGACTTTTTGGATAGATTGTATGTGTTCTTGTGACTAATAGAGGAACTACAGCGGGAGTCACTGTCTTCGCAGGCTGAAATGGCAGCAGCTCTCGCGATTAAACTACAAATTTAAATACTAAAGTTCAATGACAAGTCATACATATCACAGTCAGATTTTCAACCACATTCAGTATCTCTGTGGTCCAGATCAGAACTGTGAAGAATCAAAGAATGGGAGTCAAAGCAGCCATTTCAGATTTACACTGATCAGAGTCGGGATCCACATTCAGATCTGAGCTTTACTTATAGTTCTGCGGCACATGATAGAATCATATCACACTGTCACATCCACTCTGTTGTGATACAATACTCGATCAGCAACTTTCACATATTTCCTCATTTGTTTGTTTTGCATCTCTGCCCCACAGTACATGATAATATAAAGTGATAGTCTCATTTGACTGATAAACATTCCTATAGCACTGACTGGGACACTGGGTAAATGCCTCCGGGCACTGACTCAAGACTTGGAATGGCTCATCTTCACCCACAGATAAATGTATTTCTCCACTGGGAACGGCGTGCTCACTCTACAGGGATGTTTACTCAGTTGCGGAAAAATAAGCAAATTTAGGTGTGAATAAAAGGTCACAGATAAGAGGGAACTATGAAGGAATTTCTAAAATGCAAAACACCCTGTGCATCCAGACTCCTCTCGTACATGTTCATTTGTTGAACCTTTACCACTCACTGACCTCCCCTACCTCCCCCACAGTGCAATTTAACAAAGGAGAATACTTGCATAGATTAAGACTTAGCTACTTTTCAGCAAAAATTGTCTTTCCGCTGGTACCCTTTATTTTTGTTCAAATTGCTATAATGCTATAATATTTGACATGTTCACAATCTTAGTTTATGCTAACATTAGCTATTTAGCTTGAAACACAAATTAAAGCTGAGGCTTTTGGGAATGTCATTAGTTTTGCAGGTATTTGGTCTTCAACCAAAGCAGAGCTCAACAATAAGAACTGAATCATTGGTCCGGGGGAGGAAATTTCCAGACTGGGCAAGTGAAATAACCCCCATTAATGTTGAGGTATTGGACAAACATTGACCAAAAGGAGCAAATTTCATGACAATACAACCAGTAGGAAGAAGGAAAAATCTGCGGCTCACCAAAGTCATACTCATAGTATTTAATTTTTTCAATTCAATTCAATTTTATTTGTATAGCGCCAATTCACAACAGAAGTTATCTCTGGACACTTTTCAAATAGAGCAGGTCTAGACCGAACTCCTTATAACATTATTTACAGAGACCCAACAGTACCACCATGAGCAAGACCTTGGCGACGGGGGCAAGGAAAAACTGCCTTTATAAGAGGCAGAAACCTAGGACAGACCCTTCGGCTCTAGGTGGGTGGTCGTCTGCCTCGATCAGCCATCTTCTATGCTGTGGTCCCCTAGGAGAGGGGGCAGTACGGACAGGGACAGGAAGAGACTCAATAAACTGATCAGGAGAGCGAGCTCTGTCCTGGACTGTCCTCTGGACTCCACTGAGGAAGTTGGTGAAAGGAGGATGTTAGTGAAGCTGACATCCATCATGTAGTAATAATAATAGTAATAATAATAATAACAATAATATCAGTGATATTAGCTGTGGGGGTCAAGCAGGACCATGGCAGGAGGCTCCACCAGGATCGATAAGAACCTGCGAGACGAGAAAGCACAAGAACTCCGGGGAAGAAGTGAAGTTAGTAACATGCATTAATGGAACATGAATGAGTGCAGAAAGAGAGAGAGAGGAAAAGAAGGAGCTCAGTGCACCATGGGAAATCCCCCGATAGTCTAGCCCTATAGTAGCATAACTAAGGGATGGTTCAGGACTCACCTGATCCAGCCCTAACTATAAGCTTTATCAAAGAGGAATGTCTTAAGCCTACTCTTGAATGTGGAGAGGGTGTCTGCCTCCCGAACCACAACTGGAAGCTGGTTCCACAGGAGAGGAGCTTGGTAACTGAAGGCTCTGGCTCCTGTTCTACTTTTAGAGACTATAGGAACCAAAAGTAGCCCAGCATTCAGAGAACGTAGTGTTCTAGAGGGGTAATATGGTGCTATGAGCTCTTTAAGATATGAAGGGGCCTGACCATGAAGAGCTTTGTAGGTGAGGAGGAGAATTTTAAATTCTATTCTAAACTTTACAGGGAGCCAGTGCAGAGAAGCTAATACAGGAGAGATGTGATCTCTTTTCCTAGTTCCTGTCAGTATTCGTGCTGCAGCGTTCTGAATTAATTGGAGCGTCTTAATGGACTTATTGGGGCAACCTGATAATAAGGAATTGCAGTAATCCAGCCTAGAACTAACAAATGCATGGATTAGTTTTTCGGCATCCGTCTGTGACAGGATGTCTAATTTTTGTAATATAACGTAAATGAAAGAAGGCAGTCCTGGAGGTTTGCTTTATGTGGAAATTAAATGACATGTCCTGATCAAAGATAACTCCAAGATTCCTGACAGTGGTGCTAGAGGCCAAGGTAATGCCATCTAGAGTAACTATATCTTTAGACAGTGAGTCTCTGAGGTTTTTGTGGGCCAAGTACAAGAATTTCGTTTTTTTCTGAGTTTAACATCAGAAAATTGCAGCTCATCCAGGATTTTATGTCCTTAAGACATGTTTGTAATAGATTGTAATAATTAGTTAATTGATTAATTTCATCGGTCTTGATCAATAGATATAACTGTGTATCATCTGCATAGTAATGAAAGTTAATGGAGTGATTCCTAATAATGTTGCCTATGGGAAGCATACATATAGTAAATAGTATTGGTCCAAGTACAGAACCTTGTGGAACTCCATGACTAACTTAAGCATTTATGGAGGATTCATCATTAACGTCTACAAACTGAGAACGATCTGATAAGTATGACCTAAACTAGCTTAGTGCGGTTCCTTTAATGCCAATATGATGCTCAAGTCTCTGTAAAAGAATATTATGGTCAATGGTGTCAAATGCAGCACTAAGATCTAATAATACAAGTACAGAGACAAGTCCATTGTCGGAAGCAATCAGGTCATTAACTTTAACCAGAGCTGTCTCTGTGCTATGATGAACTCTAAATCCCGACTGAAAATCCTCAAATGAACTATTGTTATGTAGAAAGTCACACAACTGTTTGGCGACTACTTTCTCCAGAATCTTAGAGAGGTAGGGGAGGTTAGAGATCGGTCTATAGTTGCCTAAAACCCCTGGGTCAAGAGTGGACTTTTTAAGAAGGGGTTTAATTACAGCTACTTTAAAGCACTGTGGTACATATCCTGACAATAAAGAAAGATTGATCATATCCAGTAAAGAAGTGCCAATTAAGGGTAAGACTTCTTTAAGCAGCCTATTTGGGATGGGGTCTAAGAGACAGGTTGATGGCTTCGATGAAGAAATTATTGAAGTTAACTGATGAAGATCGATAGCAGAAAAACAGTCTAAATAATAATCTGTTTTTAAATGAGTTAAACTTCCTGAACTTGGAGAGCCAGTGGGTGATTCATTTCCTCTCAAATAGTAATAATTTTATCATAAAAAAAGCTCATAAAGTCATTGATACTTAAGGTTATGGGGATATGTGGCTCAATAGAGCTGTGACTCCCTGTCAGCCTGGCTACAGTGCTGAAGAGGAACCTAGGGTTGTTCTTATTTTCTTCTGTTAGTGCTGAGTAATAGGCTCCTCTGGCATTACGGAGGGCCTTTCTATATATTTTAAGATTATCTTGCCAAATTGAGTAATATTCTAATAATTTAGAAGAGTGCCATTTTCTTTCAGATTTCCTTGCTTTTTGCTTTAATTGGTGGGTTTGGTGGTTGTACCACGCTGCTAATCTCCTATGTTTTAATATTTTCCTCTTTATAGGAGCGATAGAATCTAATGTTGATCGTAGTGAGCCTGCCGCACTATTAACAAGATTATCAATTTGGGAGGGACTGAAGTTGTTATAGAAGTCCTCCATTATATTAAGACATGGCATTGAATTAAGCACTGATGGAATCCATGATAGAACGAAGTCAAGAATGTGATTAAAACAATGAGTGGGTTTATTTACACTCTGACAGAAGCCAATTTAGTTTATTAATGAGATAAATGTGTTACTAAGGCTGTCAGAACAGACAGGTGGTATTGAAGTGGAACAGAGATTTCACAACACAGTACCATGTCAAAACAACCCTACGTCAACAAATACCCTGGATCAACTTTCAGAGAGATACTGGTTATTTTTAGCATATTTATTGCACAATCTTTATGCTGGTTCTAAATGCTTCCATTAAGACATGCTCCTTTTGTCTTAAACATCAGAAGAAAAACAAAAACGGCAACCGAACTTCTCTTTATCAAAATAGTTTATTTAGAAGGCTTTTGTCACAAAAGCAAGACATATCTTGTCTCTAAATGTCCCCGTTCCACCTCTCATACTCCTCCAACTAAAAATGTGACACAAATAAAACATCAGTTTATCACTTGAGAAGAGCTAAGAAGAAAACAAAATGCTGCAATTTAAAAAAAAAAAAAGAGAGCAATACTTCACATCACTGTTGTCTATAATCATATGCTTGACAGAATCTGATGACTTGCTAGTATTGTACAAAGTGTGACAGTGAACGCTGCCTTAAAACACATAATACAGACGAGTCGTTGGTTAAAGATGAGCTCGCTGTGAACAAAGCATGGGGCTAGTGATCGCTTACAGGGGCCGAATACGGATGCTCGAGAATTTGTAGATTTGTACAAATGTAAGAGACTGTCAGTACCCTGTAGAGTTGACCCAACAGTTACATCACTCCACGCAGAGGAAACTTAAGAAAAGGTGGGATAACAAGACGATAAAAAGGGGCAGAGACAGACAAAAGAATCAATGTGTATAAATCTGTTATTCATCACACCACAAGAGGAAGATGCATCCTTTTCACTGAAGGAACAGAGTGAGTAGCAAGTGATCGAGTGCATCTTACTACCCTTGTGTTTCTGTGCTGCAGCGTCTACACAAAGTACACTCCATTCCTGAGACGTCCTTCCCTCACCAGATGCCCAAATGTTTCCTCTTGGTTCTCGGTGATGAGGTAAACTGCAGCTGAGACATTGAAAGGGGAGCTAAAGTCGGGCATATGGGAGTGAACAACACTCTGGAATGGAGCACAGCCAAACCTCTTCTGAGGGCAAAAAGCAGAAGATGGTTTTCATGGTGGCCACTTCCTGTTCACTTACACAATAGCCTTTATACATGAACCATACAACATTTTTATATGTCCACTGAAGGCAGGGGAAAAACGCCCCATCCCATCACTGTTTCTTCTCCGGCTCACGAGGCCACATGGGCAGGCAGGCAAACAGGCAAGGAGCGGGCTTCCTTTTATTTGGCAGGGATCTTTGCTCGTTTCCGGGCGATGGCGTCCTCCACGGCTTTCAGCTGCTTCAGCAGCTCCTCTCTGCGAGACAGTGTGTTGCTGGGTTTGTTTGAGCCTGAGCCCGAGCCCGAACCCGAGCCCGTGCCGGCGGCCGAAGTGGAGCCAGGGGCAACCGGCTTTCCCAGTGGCAGCGCCGGGCCTTTCCCGGATGACTTGGGGGGTGGTGACAGAGGACGTTTTCTGCGGAAGTGGAGGAGTGAAAAGAACAAAAAGAGAAAATACCCAATTATAAACGCAGCAGCAATAAATATAAGCTGTATTAATGATCAAATGTGGATGCTCTTGTGAAACAGCCATTATCTGACTGTCCTCTCACACGAATTACTATTACTATACTGTAATCTGTATTAATAGAATCAATTCAATTCAATTCAATTTATTTGTATAGCGCCAATTCATAACAGAAGTTATCTCAGGACACTTTTCAAATAGAGCAGGTCTAGACCGAACTCTTTATAACATTAATTACAGAGACCCAACAGTACCACCATGAGCAAGACCTTGGCGACAAGGGCAAGGAAAAACTGCCTGTTAAAAGGCAGAAACCTAGGACAGATCCTCCGGCTCTAGGTGGGTGGTCGTCTGTCTCTACCAGTTGGGGTGAAAGAGAGAGAGCGAGAGAGAGAGAGACAGAAAGGTGCACAGCAACAACAGTATTGGCAATGGCAATCTAGCAGGACCATGGCAGGAGGCTCCACCAGGATCGTTAAGAACCTGCGAGAATCAGAGTTTCTGCAGGTTCAATTTAAGACTTTTTTTTAACCTTTTTATGACCATTAGGAATGCAATTCAAGACCTCCTCCTAGGGAATTTATCAGCTCGACAGGTTGATCAGATCCAGCTTAAATTTAGTCAGAAAATGCAAAACATATTGTCGATGATATTTCATGATTGTGGTGTGTTAAAGAGCATGTCCGTGGTGTCAAATTTTGATGTACCGCCAGAACACACCAATTTGCTATAACTTCGGTATACATTGTCCAATTGGCCCCAAACTTCACTTGTCTGATATGAGTCCCGCCCTGAACACATCTATGTGATAATATTCACTAATAGTGATAGCCACCTAGGGGTGAAAGGAAATGTCATTTTTATACTTTTATGTATATCTTCCTGCAGAACTCCCATAGGATGATGACGATGATACCTTATGAATCTTAAGAATTTTCGTAGAAAAAAAAATCTGCTATTGTGTTTGAACAATTTTTAGGGGGCTAAACATGTCCGAAAACTCATGAAACTTTACACAAAATTCAGTCGTGGCGAAGTATTAAGTCTTGTCTTGGTCCCACACATGCCGCCCCCCATTCCCCCCAGAATCAGTCCCGAAGACACGTAAGACTGACATGCATGGAAATTAGTACGGATGTGTATCATAATCGGACAAGCAAAAAAGCCTCTTGCATTTTTGGACACTTTCCCATGCTCGACAGCTCACGAAGCTTTGCACAAAATTAAAACATGGCAAAAGTCGATGTATTCATTTGTACTGGTGCACAGGCCCCGCCAAATGTCTAAGCCCTGCCCCTCCGAATCAGCCCCCAAGACGTGTATGACGGACATGTACGAAAATTGGTACGCATGTGTATCATGCTCAGACATGCTCAGGCAAAAAAGCCTCTTGGAGCCATACTCCCAACAGGAAGTCAGCCATTTTGGATTTCGTGGTCATTTCTGGCGATTTTTGGCGTCGTTTTTTAACGAACATCTTCTAGGGAAGTGATCGGATTGACCTTAAATTTGGTCAGTATGATGTAAATACCATCATGATTAAAAGTCATGCTATTTGTGACTGCTTCAAACCATCTACCCGTGGTGTGGCGTGCAATTGACTCGCCATGAAAAAGGAATTTGTCATAACTTCAGCGTACAAGATCCAATCTCAACGTAACTTCACATGTCTGATGAGTCCAGCCCTGAACACGTCTACATGACAATATTCAGATATAGTGATAGTGCCACCTAGTGGCAACAGGAAATATTAGGGGTGCTCGATAATTATCGGGCCGATAACAGGAAATTATTATGTCATTCCAATAAGTCCGATATCATGACGAATAGCCTTGATAACATATATAATTTTGTCAGCACGGGAGTGCCCTGCTCTTACTATGAGACCTGAATGGCCTGCAGTGAATGCTGTGTTCAAGTGACGTTGGCATAATCAGAAAAACTTGTTCTGACGGGGAAAATTCAAGAATACCCCCTCATGTCGAAAAGAACTCGTTAACTCATAGTCATAATTTTGGTAGTTGCTGACTTGAATTGATATCCACAGTATTTTTCCACATGTTACACATAAACAATAGAAACACGAACTTAACAAGGCCAAAAGAACGACTACCAAATGTGGGAACAGGGAATTTCCGTTACACCGTGAATGCAGCACAGCGTGCTTATGTTTGAAAACAGACAACACGGCGTTGATTGTGTGGGACTTTTACAAAGTTTCTGAAGAAGACAGGTCGCTTGTTATTTGTAACAAACTAGTGCTGTGCCCGTAGGAAGTATGTCTTGCTATAGAAAAGTGGGAGGTTAAGTAGCTTTTTCATGGATGGCCAAATAAGGTTGTGTTTGAAGGTGCAGCAGCTAGCTACAGACGAACATCCACAGATTCCGATTCCAGTTTATTGTCCTCGCGTATCCGGATCTCCTCAGACCGGAACAGACTCGGTCCGGACTTGTTCAGTGTCAGTAATCCACAACAGTCAGTTTAGATGCACAGAACGGGACTGAACAGGCGGCAAAACCCGCTGCAGGTATCGACACTGAAGCTTTGATACGTGCTTCTAACCCTGAACTACAATTCCATAGAACCACTGCTTCAGAGCTTTGGTGCGAAAACAATCACGTGACATAGGCCGCTTCATTGCCTGAATGAATCACCTGACTGGTTCGCGGTCCAATCAGGCGATTCACTGGCACTGCCCCGTCTCGATTGTGTGTGTGTGTGTGTGTGTGTGTGTGTGTGTGAGTGAGTGAGTGAGAGAGAGAGAGAGAGTGCGTGTGAGAGTGCATGAATGCCTGTATGTAATTAAAAGCCTCCTGTCCACCAACCAGCCTGCCTAATTTGACTGCAGCCTTGCACTTTGCCAGGAGAGGTCACTGTAACTGAAGCTTCGAGTAATGAACCAATTTTCGAAACAATTGGCTCAAGTGGTTCAGTGCTTCACAAAAGCTTCATTTGCCCATCACTATAGATCAGCGTGTTTCTTAAGGTGTGTCGTGGGGGTGGGCTCTGCAGTGATTGGCTCCAGTGCGCACATGGCTATGGTGGCTATGGTTGACAATGCTAGCGGAATTTTCTCTCTCTCTCTCTATAAAACAACTGAACCTCATTTACTTTAGTGAGAAGGTATTCATTTAAATGGAACCATAAGCCAAAATCATTTAAACTTAATTTTTTGTCACTATGGAATGCACTTTTTCAGTTTGTTTACACAGACAAGTGCATCAGTTCAAGGGGCCTTTATTTTTTTCTTTGAGAGGCTTGCCAATAGTTTTTCATTGGAAAAAATAAATATCAACATTTAAATTTAAACATTTAAGTGTTTTTGGGTTTGTTCATTGTATTAATGACATGATCTTAGGTCATGATCATATATATTATGTATATGTGTGTATGTTATCGGTATCGGCCTTTAGGAGCTGAAAGTTATCGGTATTGGTTTAAAAAAAAGTTATCGTGCATCCCTAGGAAATATCATGTTTCATACTTTCATGTTCTACTCCTAGCAGGTTGTTCAGATCCAGCAGAAATTTGGTCAGAAAATGCAAACCATAATGTTGATGATATGTGATAAATGGGGTGAGTTGTCACTGAAGGGTGTTGTCCTGGCCGTGGCGTCAAACGTGGACGCACATATGCTGTAACTTGAGTACACATCTTCCATTTGGCACCAAACTTCAAGTGCCTGATAAGATTCCTACCCTGTGTCCGTGGCGTGCCATCAAAGTGGGCCATTTTGAATTTCCCAGTGAGTTTCTGCAATTTTTGTGGGTTTAATTTGAAAGAACTCCTCCTAGGGAATTTATCGGATCTACTTCAAAACTGGTCAGTACAGTCAAAGAATATTGCTGATTATAGGGTGTGCTATTTGTGATTGTACGTTGAAGGGCGTGTCTGTGGCGTGCCGTCAAAGACGGCCATTTTTAATTTATTGGTCATTTTCTGTGATTTTTTGCGTTTTATTTGAACAAACTCCTCCAAGGGTATTTATCAGATCTACTTCAATACTGGTCAGTACAGTCAAAAATATTGCTGATAAAAAGTTCTGCTATTTGTGACTGTATGTTGACGTGCTGTCCTTTTGAATCAAATGTCAAACTGTGTCGCATTTCTGGCAATTTCAGGGCTTCTATTTTAACAAACTCCTCCTAGAGAATTTATCAGAACAACTCCAAATTTGGTGAGCCAATTTTAAACACCTCCAGGATTTAAAGTTGTGCTCCTCATACATACTTATTGAACGGCGTGACTCACATGTTAAGAGCCCTGGCCTAAACGCAATCAAAGTGCCAGTATTCAGTCGCTGTCATAGCATCAACTACTTGCAACAGGAAGTAAGCCTTGTGTGGTGATTCGTTGGAAGTTGTAGCTTGGTGTTGTCATGATGTACTGGTGCGTGACCCGACGGCAGCACATCCCGACATGCACCGAGTGTGAGGGCCCGATCATCACTGTTTTAATTTTAATTTGTACTGTGAAATAAAACACCTAGTAAAAAGTACTAAGGGGAGGGATGTTTCTGTAACTTACAAAACTAAGTTAGTTAATTAGTTATTGATGGAATGCGTTTGTTTTTTTTTAAAATAACTTGCATTACAGTGTAATTCCCATCCATGCTGGTAAAAAAAAGGTGTTTTTGGTGTTTTGTTGTTACAGCATGATCAATACACATTTCTCCCAAAAACATTTAAAAGTGAGACACAAACTTCATTAATAAAAGACAACGTTTAAGACCTGAAATAATTATATTTAGGACATTTTAAAGCTAAGACTACTAGATTTTTAGACTTTTTAAGAACCCACGGAGACCTGTACAATTCATAGTATAAGTCTGGTGCCACTTTTTATTATAAAAAATCCCTGATATTTCCTTCTTCCTCTGTACCATAGAGTTCCATTGTTGTCCAAAAACCATTAAAAACACATCAGTGAGCCACACTGTTGCACTGGGTGACAGGTTCCTTCATTACCATTAACACAAACTACGTCCTGCTACTCATAAGAGTGCAAAACTTTTTTTTTGTGCCAACTGTTCTTAAACCAATCCTGGTGGTAAAGTAAATGTTTACTACACAGAGATCAATAATTAAAACAGATTCACCGCAACGCCTTAGGATGTAAAAGAATATGGAATGTGGGTGACACATTTGACCCAACACCTGATGAAAATGGGAAGATTTTAAAATTTCACAAGAACTCTAAATATGTGATATTACAAAATACCCCACTGCATGACTAATATGATCAGTTGAGTAATGTTAATCTAATATTTCATAGTCATGAGCTGTATGAATACTAGTAAATGTGAAACACACATTTCTCAGAATATGCAATTAAAGCAGTCATAGTTACACATACAAAGGCTTGGCACTTGTTTACATAGTTGATTGCTTTAGATTGGATAGCTAATGTTTTCTAGAAACTGACAGACACAATTAAAGTCTTAGCCAAAGTTTTATAGGTGCAAACCCAATGAGTAAATAATTTACTAAGGACTTTACACACAAACCGAGTGATGTATTGATGAACAGCTGGTGCAACTCTATCCATGTGGTTTAGGAAAATACTGAGCCTTTTTAAAAATAAAAGTGTGTACTTTGTGATTGATTTGTTTTGAAGGATTTATGTTTACAGTAGGACTCAATGGGCCACAGACAGGGTAGGGAAGTCAGGGAAGCACTGAGAGAAGTACTGACACTTTGGTTTTGACTGGTTTTGGTCTGGTAATGGGATTTGCTGACAGTAGCTATAATACAGATTAGTCCAGCCTTCTCCTTTAATGGAAAAGACACTCGGGTTCAAGACTGCTTCATAGTTTGACCAAAAAATAGTAGTAGAAACTGCACTCTGTTCAGTTGACTATCATGCTGTCACCTCTTCTAACCAGAGATTGTACTTTGTAGGGGTGTAAGAATATATCAATAAATTTGCGTATCGATACTTTGTCTTGTGATTTCTGTGGTTAAACCCCCGACTCCTAGATAGCAGTGTTATAAATTGAGGGCTATGATGTCAGATGTTAAAGGGACTGTGATAAATACAAATCCCACTATTCTGGTTGCATAAACAATATTATTTTTTTACTCAGATTTAATGCATATGGTGGTGTGTTCTTTATACTATGAAAGTTTGCCTGGAACTATATTTAAAACAAATGGCAATACATCACAGTTAATTCATTTGAAATATCATCCGGCCTTACTTCAAAGATCTGTTGGATTAGGTGAAATTCCACATAGCTGTGTTAGCTATAACAGTACAATCATTTGTACAGTAACAAAAGTTAAGTTGCAAACACAAATTTCAATAAAAGAGTGGATGCTCAAAACTATATTGTACTATACTATGAACTAGGCCCTATTACAAAGCACCTAGTTCATACTGGGGAATTTGTGCAAGAGCCGGTGAATATCATGACACGTGCACAGATGATGTAATACTTGTGTGCTTCCACTTGTTTGACATGTTCCTCATTTTAGTGTGGTCAGACATACTTCATGCTCTGAAAACCCTGATGTGTTTGGCCTGAGCAATCATGATCACTGCTGTTGATAAGGAAGAGCAGTCAGAGAGAAAATTTGACTTTAGAATTTCCACACTTCCAGCTGAATACCCTTTTTTAAAAACCTTTTGACTTCTGTTGTTGAATTATAAAGTGTATAGGATAGATTATAAGAAGTCCTACAGCAGTAACATGCTCAAGGTTGCACCAACCTGTCTCCAGGGGGGGGCATGGGTCGGGGCCCTTGGCCTCTGGGCCGGTCCATTCGAGGTGAGAGTGGGGGTCGTCCAGGTATCCTCTTATCACGGCCTGAAACAACATCAGGTTCACAGTTAGCGAGGTTGTTAGCGGTTTGGAGAGTTAGTTCATTAAAAGCAACATTACTGTAGAGACTACACAGCTGTTAAAGTGTACCAGTGATGTAGCCTCTTTTAAACAGCTGTTTAAGTTTACATGAATTGTCTCAATTGATTTAAAGATTTGTGGATCCGACGCATACTGTAGGCGATTTGGCAAATTTGGCATTGTGCTTGGTAAAGGTTGACCTACCTTCGTGATGTCGAAGAAATTTTTTGCCGCTAGTAGAATATATTAGCTTCTTCGCGCACAACACACAGAAACAAGCACCTGGCTCTCTTCATTTTTGGCACCAGCTACCGAAAGGCTTGCTCCCTCCGCCCCTTTCTTCTTTGCACTTCATTGCGTGTGCATAGTTACGATTGCTAACGTTGGATTGGACAGGAGCGGTTTGAGGGAGGGGCTTGACAATATCCCGCAGCAACAGGTTTTTTTTTAATGTTTACTTTTTTCTTTTATGAATCGCAGTCAAACGCCACACGCCGAAGATCCGGCACAGTGCCGGAATACTTTAAGCCCTGCATTTGGTTATAAAAACTTCAAACAGGATGGCACCAACAAAAGGAGCGAGACTGCAAAGTCTGCAGTACCCGAATCAAGGATGCTGGATACACCACGTCAAATTTTATCAGGCACCTGAAAACTCACCCGGATAGGTCAGTCACATTAGCTCAGCATCAGCTATGTAACCCTTACTTAGCTTGCTACTAGCTTTGTAACTGAATATTTGAATAGATGAGTGAATGTTAGTTTTCTTATCGCACTTGTTTGCATTGAGTGGCGTTGACATGACATAAAAAAAAAAAGGTAGGGTAACGTTAATCATCTACGTTGCCACCATCTACTGGCTAACGTTAACCGTAGAAAAATACATAGTTATACTGTCGGCTTACAGGCAGGTTACAGGCTAATTGTTGACCACGTAACGTTAATGTTACAGGTTTATCAGGTTACCATTACGCAAAACAACATTGTTGATTGTTTCAGATAATATGGCAGCAAGAGTTTTGCTTTTTTTTGTGAACTAATTTTTAATTGCAAATAACACAGAAGTAACATATACAAGTGTTTAAAATACTTTTAAGTGTTTTGCTCACAAGTTCTTTGCATTTCGCTAAAGTGTGATGTTTTGCACTAATTGGAATGATGTTAATTACAATGTCTTTGACTGGGTGAGGTGTAACATTTTCTATATTTGTTCTTATTATGGTCCCACTGAGCCTGCACAATAGGGGGCAAGATATACTGTAACTGTATGTTCATGTTGGAAGTTTCCTTTAAAGGAAAGCATTCATTGTGTGTTTTCTTCATATTGCATTGCAATAGCCTGTTTAAAGTGATCATATAACAAACAACTAATCAGTACTGATACTGTATGCTAATAGATAAAGGAGTGATAATAATACAGTAAATGCTTTGAATTTCTTAGATATAGCTGTGCAGTATTCTTCGTAGACCGGATAGCAGCAAATGACAGAAAGCTTATTACAACCAGAAGAGACATATGACTTTTATTTTTTAGAGACTTGAGACTTGACTTGGACTCGTGACCAAAGACTTGAGACATGACCAAGTCTCACCCCACAAAGACTTGAGACTTGACTTGGACTTGTGACCAAAGACTTCAGACTTGACTTGGACTTGCAAAGATCTACAGAGTATCTATTAATTGTTCAGTCTATATGAAAATAAAATGAATGCAAGGTGTTCAATTAATAGCAAATTAAACAGAGAAGCAAGCCCTCACATCTACCAAGCTGAAGCCATCTAACGCTTGCATGACTAACAGATAAAACCATAAAAGGATTTAGCAAGTATTAAACCCGGCAGAGTAAGAATTTATAGACCTATTTGCATTAATGTTGCATCAAACATACAAAAATGATCAGAGATCGCAACATCATGAATAAATGTCACATCAGAATTAATTTGGGTGAAAGGGTTCCCAGAGATAATGTAGGCTGAATGATATCATGGATGGACAACAGCAAATACCTGATTCTTGATAAAAAAACAGTATTGTTCCCACATGTTGGTCTGTATTTGTGTCAACAGTAAATTTTCTGAGAGTGAACATGTGTGTGTGTAGGCTGTTAGTAAACACGTTTCTCACCTCTGTCTGGAGACATGGCCATTCTCTTGCTGAGGGGGGAACCTGGCCTGTCTTTGTCTGAAGGAAGGTACCTCTTCCTGTTGCCCTTATCTCCTTGCTGCTAGAAAGAAACAGTCAAACTAATTTACTCCACATCCAAGTGCAAAATTAAATAAATAAATAAACAAATGAATGAATGTCCGTCCATTGGTCCATTCGAGAGAAATTGTTAAGTGATGGAAAGCCCTACCTCATACAAGTATGAGAAATACTAGGAGCATTTAAAGAAAAGTGTGTCATTTTGGGAAATAGGAAAATTTGCTTTATATCCGAAAGAGAGTTGAGAAGATCAATATCACTCTCAATACTTTACACTAAATATAGTACGCTAGAGACCTGACTCAACTAGCTAAGCTTAGCATAGCATAAAGACTGTAAACGGGGAAACCGCTATCCTGGCTCTGACCAAAGGTAATAAAAGCCACCTTACAGCACCTTGAAAGCTTGCAAATTAACTTGTTTGTTCTATCCATAAAAAGTGAAAAAGAAAAAGGTTTCGATTTAACAGGGGATGAATAATTCTTCCTGCAGTGGACTAACTCTTGGCAAGATAGCAAATAACTGTATTCTCCAAAATGTTGAACTATTCCTTTAAGATTTAATTCTAGAATAGACCCTTTAAAGAAGAGAAAGAGGAGCAATAGTTACCTTGTTGAGGAGGGTGAGTTTAATGTCTTTGTGGGAACCTGAACCTCCATAGCTTCCTGGGGGGCCCATGGTCCCGGGTGGAGGATGTACAGGGTGGCCACCCCTGCTACCAGGACCTGATCTAGGCATGGGGTTGCCTCCTCTAGGCGGGGCACCGGATAGGTCAATCTTCCTGCGGTCCTCTCTGAAGGGTTCATCTTTCTTTGATGGTCTCTCTGTGGACAGGTAACATGGCAACAGATAAACACTGTCATGCTAATCATAAGTTCTATATTTCTGATTTAGAGAAAAATCCACAACATATTCTAAAATCTTATTCATTTTTTACCTATTAGACATTTGAAGTAAGTAAATATGTGGAAGGACAAATATGGAAATATTTGTCTTAAACACAAAACTTTGCTGTTAAGCTATCGTTAATGAAACTCACACTTCCTACACTGATGTTTTATATTAAAATCTTTCCAGTAGGCATAATCCGTACCTTTCATGGTAGACTTTAACTTTGAATTCACCATGAGAGCTAATGGGGTACAGGTAATTCCCTTGGCCTTAGAATGTCTTTACCGAGCCTTTATTCATTTGTGGTGGCAATTATGACCATTATTTGAATACCAGAATTTATGATTTCTATGCGGTGCTGTTGTTTATCAGCCTGCCTGCTGCATGGGGACTTTGTTGCTCACACTAACCCCTGTTCTTGTCTCTGCCATGTGGAGGCCGGTCCCGCGCAGGCCCTCTCTCCTTGCGGGGGTGGTTTGGTGTGGGCGAACGGGAGCTGGCGGAGGAGACTGGGCTGGCCAGGTCAGCGTACATATCGTCTGAGTCTGCGCTGCGTACCGAGCTGCTGCTGGACGACGCTGATGACACTGATGACACACTGCTCACGCTCAGCGATCTGTGGCGGGAGACGACAGGTCGACCGTGAGCTGGGGCATTGCAGACTGAGCGTTGTTATCGCAGTTGTGTGTACACAACAACAACACGGCAACATATCTTCATATATATACACACACCCTGAATAATAGCTATCATACCTGGATTTCCTGGAGGGTTTCCCAGAGACGGCACATGAAAGCAAGAGAGAATAACACAGAATAAATCCATATTAGGCTGCGTTATTAGTCTGAAGGACGCATTATATATGCACACTTAAAATACCTTTATATTTGGAATATTTAGCTTACAGATTGAGGATGAATGCAACAGATAACTGAGCTATAATTCTCAAAGTAAGGGTTTAAAGACCTTTCTGAACCCAGATGGAATTGTGAGTCCAATTTGGCAGTTTCAAAAAGTGTAAATGACGACAACTCTTCAGATTATCAGCTTCATGTATGTGTTGACTTAATTTAAATTACATAATGTGCCATTCTGCTTCATGTTCAATCTTCTTGAAAGTGTGGCAGTAATGTAAAGCTTCATTTCATAAATAAGTACATAAATAAATGCCTCCCCAAACACAATATATGGTGTGCAACATTTCTTTAAAAGGTTGCCAAAGCTTTTGGAAAACGGCAGTTCTGATGACACTGAAGGTGTTCGCATGGGCGAGTACCTGGATTTTCTGGATCCAGAGCGTGAGCGTGACAGAGAGTTAGAGGAGGATCTGGATCTGGATCTAGAGCTAGAACCAGTATAACTGCTACCACTTCCACTAATACTCCCACTCACAGTTCGCCTGAAAGAGACAGACAAAGGACTGAGAACACAGCAGGTAGTTTTTTTTATAAAGCGTACTACCCAGCTCTTTGTTCAGTTATTATCACACAGAGCAGACATAAAGGCTGTATGTGTATATTCCCTACTGTAATCTGTTACATTACCAGGAGATTACTACGGACACTCACCATTTGGCTTATTGTAAAGCCAGTTTCGGGGGCCACTGGACAGGCCATTTTTACAGCAGACATTTTGACTTTTCATAATACGAAAGGCACAGGTGTTAATATTAGGGCTGCTCGATTATGGAAAATATCATCACGATTGTTTGGGTCAAAATTGAAATCACGATTATTCAAACGATTACTTTTTTAAACTTCAGAAACATGCTGCATTTATTGGACATTTGTCAAAAAAACGTGTGCACTCTTGCAATCTCTACAAAAAGTTAAATTAAATAAAATAACACACAAAAGATAAGCCATAGAAAAACAATTTGTGTTCTCAAATTTTAGTGCACTGCCACAACATTTGAAATTACCTCTATGTTGATTTTGGAGCGGCGGCCCGCCGCTGTTAAATTTCTGCCGCCACGTTATCAGAAATGGGGCAGAAGGACAATGTAGTCACGGTTGCCTTTTAAATTATCCTGCCGACATAATGCACCCCCGCTGGCTGCCGCTCACATTGCAATTTAACAACAAGTAGAACTATTCAGAGGTTATTGGGGCTGTCCAGTTTAACTCCACATACTGTTGTGTTGATGTAGCTTATTGTCAAAACGTTCGCTTTCTTCCAAGTCGACTATTAAACTAACAGCTCCACCAAAAACGTCACCGCGGTGGGTCCGTTTTAATTGGACAACGTTCAACTTGTCAGTTCTCAGCTCAACATCCTGATATCAAACATCTGGAAACATTAAAACGGTAAATATATTTGTTTGTGTCGCAGCGAAGTGTCACTTCTGTTTCATACGTAAAACGTTTGCCGACATGACGAGACGGGACGGGGGGAAAAATCCCAGAGGAAACACTGATTACCTGTTACTGTTACAAGTTACCTGTTCCAACAAAAACAACGTGACTGACTCATGTGCAGTGCATGCTGTGGGGGAGGGATGGAAATACGCAGACATTGGATGTGTCTCAATTCAGGGGCTGCATCCCTGAATTGGGACATTGGGTTTTTTTCTATACAACACTGCACAACAGAAAATGAAAAGAAAATCGTTTCCCCCCGATTTTATTAGTTTTGAGATCGTTTGGCCCCAAAATCGTTATCATGATCAAATTTCGATTAATTGAGCAGCCTTAGTTAATATCATTAACAAAGACTATTCAGGTGTTCCAGTAAGTTATGAAAGCAAGCCAGCATGTACAATATGAAGACTATGAAGCAGCTAAATTGAATTCATTTTTTATAATGTGGTTTTCTTGGTCAAATGTCAAAAGGTCTTTTGTACAGGATCCAAAATGAAATTTTTCGCCATCTTCAAGTTTTCTTTTTGAGTGGCTTAACACTGGGAATATGTTACCACATATCTAATAACAACAGGTAATTCAGACTGCAAAATGCATATTGTGTAGAAAGCTGCAACTAATAGTAATTCGGTGGACGGTGAGGGTCACGTTAGTCTCAGCTGGTACACATAAAAACACACCAATGTCAACCTGGCCTTACGCTGTAGTAAGTATTTACTGTCCACCTGGTCAAACACTAAAAACAAAAACAAAAGTAAATCCCATCCTCAGTGTGTACCTCCTGTACCACCTACAAACTGGTTTGTATAATAAGGCCTGTGCTCGCCCTTTCACCCACACATTACTTTGGCTGGTTATATCTATTCTCAAGACTGTGTGAATGTAACAACTAAGCCTGATTGGCATTTTATTTGTGTTGCAGATGGCAGAGTAGGTGTGCATACATCTTTTACAGACTTTATAGATTATATAATCAGCATGGTTGGATCAGGCCACGGTCATTTCCCTCTTGAGTGGTCATGTCATGTCCTGTCCTGTTGTGTGCATCTGTAAAAATGAGTGTCATTTCAGATGACATGAGGCTAAGAAAACACTGCACACCTAGTATCACTAACCCATATCATATCTGCTAATCAGAGGGAAGTAGTTTATGAACACAGTAACAAACAGGTTTTCCTGGATAGTTTCCACGGTGCAACCCATTCTGCCCACACTTGCACCCACACACACACAGATGAACACACACACCCTTACTGTTCTTCCCTGCCCTTTAGCCGTTCTTCCTCTCTGGTTGATGTTTCTGTCACCCACACAAACATAATATGTATAAAGATACAGTTTTTCCTCGAGCCATCAACCCACACAATCTCTATGGTCTTCCCCCAAGACACAGCTGTGGGATACACCTGCAGTATCACCGATGTCCCACACAAATATGCAAATTCAGATGTGTAAGGAAACACAGTTCTGTTTATTGCACAGGTATCCGTTTGACAATGTCATCCACTGTCTTGAGCCCAGTAAATGTGCCGGCAGGCCAGCATTCTCTCACTAACATGCAAACACCTGAAACTAATAGCAGAGCACTCAAACGTTTCTCCTGTGAGCCACGGCTGTGATCACATGACAGTGTAAGAAGTGTTAACCAGGTTTTCAATTTAGTGTAAAAAGAGACAAAGAATACCCTGCATATAATAACAACACAATTACTTTAAGAGATTGCCTCCACCACTAAACTGTAGCAGTTCAAAAAGAGTTGAGTGGCAATCCATTTCCAGTAAACTCAGTGGGACTGTATAACACTACTGTCCTAGGCATATTTAAAAAAAAAAAAAAAAAAAAAAAAAAAAAAAATCTGCCATAATAAGATTTTGTGATGATAAGAAAGCATTTATTTGGTGATAACTTGGATAGACACAGTGTTTGGTGTGGTGTAGGTGTATATACAGTACACACAAATCTGCAAGGACAGCATGAAAAATGCTAAATATGCTTATAGAAACAAAAACAGGTCTACTGGTGAGATAGCTTGTACCCAAGAGTATCAAGAATTTTTGTAAAAAGTTCAATTTAAATTCAGGAACGGTCCAACCACAGTCCTGTTGCTTCCACCCTTTTCTCCAGGGTGGAATTTGTATTCACATATTTTGGGTTTAATGTATGCATGTGTACATACACATACATACAGTAGGTTGTATTTTGGCTAAATACTTTGAGACTCTGTTGCCCCATTAAACAAAATGAATACTTCCTGGGATACTTAAAATGCAATGGAGCCATCATTCATTTTTATTACATGTGCTTTTCTTGTTATGACAGGGAAAATTTTATGGTACTAGTATAAAAAAAGATACTCAATACCTCTTTTGACACCAGGACAAACAGTGCTGGATTAGAAAAAGTCAAAGGAGACATATTGAGGATCAGTTGCAGTGTTTTCTATTTCTATTTCCAGTCGGTTATTTATATTTTCAGTGTTTACTCAGGCTATTTTATTTTGCTCAATTTGCTTTTCCACACTCTCACACGCACACACCCACACCGTCTCTTTCTGCACACACACACTCACTGGTACGTCCTTTTTCTCTGTCTGCCTGTTTGTGTCTGCACTGTTGACTTTCATGAAGTACTAATAGTACTATACTATTGAATGAAAAATTGATGGAGATTGTATTGTTTTAAACACGTGGTATGCAAGAGCCAACTAAGTACTGATACTTTTGACCAGGGCTGCACAATTAATCACAATATTATCAAAATCGCAATATGGCCAAGTGCAAAATACAAAAATCTCTTGCTGAAGGTAAAATGTATTAAAAAAAACGCATTATATGGAGTATGTAGTTGGTATAATAGAGATGCCCTGGTGTACAAATCTAATTCTCCAGATGTAAGAAAACATGTTTGTTTGGTAGAGAGCCCAACAAATGTCACATCATCATGATTTTAATGTTTTAGTGAGATTTGTGATGCAAAAATGATCATTCCTGCCCTATCTGTCAAAATAATCGCAATATGATGTTTTTACCATATGGTGCAGCCCTACTTTTGACCTTAGCTGTAGGTACACTGTTAAAAATACTGATGTGGTGATTTGAGCACATTTCCCTGACTTCTCATGTGTTTCTCATTGACTTTGATGTGGTCAAAGTGTGAAGCTGTTTATGGTGATAGGAGGGTGCTTTCTCTGATCTTAAACCTAATTCTATTACTTAACTAAGTTATTGGAGAGTCAGCTGCCAACAGAAGCTGCCTGAAGCCTCTTTTAACTGGTTTTCTATCAAATGTGTGATGCATGTCAACTAAAAATACAGACAATGTCACAACTGTTCAATGCCCAAAGCAGGTGCTGTGTCAAATAACAGGTCATGCCAGATTGTCATTTTGACCAGGTAAGCCAACAATAACTTCAGGCTTAAGTTTAAAAAGATTAACTGGAAAAGATCTTTTTCTTTTCCTGATTCCTGCCATAAATCAGATCCTTTTGCGATATTGTGCAATCCAGCAGTTTTCAGTTAACTCTAAACCCGTAGCAGACAATGCAAAATGTATCAATACATTATCTTTTTGTTTAACAGCACTTGTGCCATTGCCTCAAAACAAACCAAGACCTTCAAGGTGAGACGCCTACCTCCGAGGAGGACGCTGCTGTCGTTCTTTCCGCCTATCTTCCCTTGGGTTGGGAGGTTTCCCAGGTTCCCGTGGTGGCAGGGGTCTACCTGCTCCTCCTCCGCCGCCTGGCCCGCCACCTGCGCCTCCAGGCTCTCTGGGATTGATGGGAGGCTTCCCTCCCTCAGGCAGAGGTTTGGAAGGCCTTCCCTGCGGTCCACCAGGTGGGGGAGGACTGGGAGCTTTCTTCATGGGAGGTTTGTCCCTGCGAGGAGGGGGCATGGCGCCCGGCTTCAGCGGCATTCTTAGGGAGGGAAAAAGCACTTTTTTCAAGCATGCAGACTGTGATGGGCAGGCATGTGCTGACAACTAGCATGCCAGCAGAGCACATGTGATGTTCTAGCTAATGATTGATAAATAATAATCATTTAACAGGCATGATGAGAATATGTATTTAAGGAGAAACAAGAAGCAGATCATTTATATATACTTATATAAATATGGCTGACTATGAGTTAAATGGGCAAGATTTACCCTTTAGCTAACACAGGTGGAAGGTCTGGTTTGTTCTTAGCATTCCTCGGTGCTGCTGGACTCGGTGAGGGAGATGTGGAGAAGGATCGAGACCTGTAAATCAATAGTGAAGTTGCCATAAAAGTGTCTTTATGCAGCTTCAATTCCAAATCAGATCACATCATACAAGTATACAACTGTTTTAAAACGCTGCATGATGTCATTTATACTCAAGTGTCAACAAGCTCCTTTTTGTAAAATAATTTGTGACTTTCATACGTTTTTATTTGTAAATAAATATAATTAAATAATTATTCAACTATTGAAGGTTTTGTCTTTGAGCTTTTTTGTCGTTACCTATAGTACTGGTGCAAAATTATGTGAAATTGCATAATTTCTAGTCAAAACCTTCAAAAATCCACCTTAGTAAAACCCTGGTGAGTATGACATGGTATTATTGTCATAACAAATGAACACAGAACAGATCAGAAAACAGGAAGGCTCCTTTCTAAAATGTGGTAAAAATATAAAGGTAGAATAAAGTCTCTTTCTGCAGCAGAGGTAGCTAAGGGGCCCGACCACAATTTGTTAATTTAAAGTACAGTTTAATGACTTAATGCTGAGAAATTTTGACAGCCCCCTTTAAAACTTTGTGTTTTTTTATTGCTATTTGAGTATGGATTAAAACAAACAAGATTTAATTAGTAAAATCTAGAGGTGCTGGGTTTTTTAAACCTTGGACAGAGCCAAGCTAGCCGTTTTCCCCTGCCTTCTGTCTTTATGACAAGCTAAGCTTCCCCTAGCTCTGGTTCATATTTAACGGACAAATGTAAGAGTCATCCAGATCTTCTAATCCAACTCTTGGCAAGATAGCAAATAAGAAGATATTCCAAACTGTCAAACTATTCCTCTAAGCGTTTACTTACCTACTGCCCTTGCAATACACACAGTGAGACATACAGACACACTCTACACTCTTTTGTACCTAGAACGGCTGCCGCTGAAGGAGCTGCGCTGGGAGGAGTGGCTGGAGTAGGAGCTGAATGAGGAAGAGCGGCTGCGGGAACGAGATGACCCAGAGCCTGTGTAGGATGAAGAGCGAGACGAAGACCTGCAAAACAAACATGTATTTAAGGTTAGTGAACAGATTCTTGGCTTTGCAGCAGTGGTTATATTTCCAGACTAGGAGAGGGCATCAACACTGAAAATCCTCAATAAACTGTAGCTGTCACCATCAGCCCAAAATGTCAATTTGTCAAATACTTTGGTTTATGACCAAATCCCTGCAAAACCAATTACACTTTCATCAGCCTCTGGAGCACTTTGTGCTCAGTGATTCAAATATTGTAGTAGCTGGCATTCAAAATATTTATCATGACACTGTATCAAAGATACCATGACATACAATTCAACAGAACAGAGCCATACCGCCAAATGTAACCTTCTGTTTTGGAAATAAAAGCTCTTGTGACGAAAGTGGTCGTGACTGAAACTCAAAAAAGAAAACATTTCATAAGATTTAGTCTTCACAACCAAAATATCTTATTATATTTAATTAGTGCTGTCAGTTAAACGCGTTATTAACGGCGTTAACGCAAACCCATTTTAACGGCGTCAATTTTTTTATCGCGAGATTAACGTTTGTTTAACTTTGTAGTTTTTTTCACATGCTGTTGCAACAACTAGTTACGTTAGAAAAACTACAACACCACACCGGATCTAGCTAGACTGGAAAAAAAACAACAGGCACGCCGCACACACTTGTTTAAGAGTAGTAGACGTTAAGTATTGAGTGGATGGCGAGTGTGAGACGCCGAAATGGATGCCAATAATATTCTGAATGGAAAGTTTACTTTTAAAAAGTTGCCAAATGGTTCCATTGACAAGACCAAAGTGATCTGTGTGTTTTGTCGTTGTGAACTGAGCTATCATCGCCGCACGTCCCGTCTGAAATCCCACTTGATGGCCAAGCACACAGCTGATGCGAATTCTCCGCCCCCTCGTCAAAGCCAGGCGACAATGGATGATTATTCAATAAAAACAACATTTGCACAAAGGTGGAGGCCCCCATTGTGTCCTGGATTGTTGATTACCTGTTGGGCAGAACACAGTACGTACGCCTACAGAACTGTGTGTCTGACAGGCTGGTCAGCAACACTGGGGCCCCACAGGGGACTGTCCTCTCTCCCTTCCTCTTCACCCTCTTCCCCTCAGACTTTAACTATTGCACTATTTGAGTCCTGCCACCATCAGAGGTTTTCTGATGACTCAGCAATAGTTGGTTGTATTGAAAAGGGTGATGAGAATGAATACAGGACTGTTGTGGGCAACTTTGTCACTTGGAGTGAGCTGAATCATCTGCAGCTCAATGTGACAAAGACAAAGGAGCTCATAGTGGATCTGAAGAGGGTGAAATCACCAGTGACTCCTGTTCCCATCCAAAGCAGACTCTTTTTCCTGAGGGGGCTGAGGTCCTTTAACATCTGCCGGACAATGCTGAGGATGTTCTACAAGTCTGTGGCCAGTGCGATCTTCTTCGCTGTGACATGCTGGGGCAGTGGGCTGAAGGTCGCAGATACCAACAGACTAAACAAACTGATAAGGAGGGCCGGTGATGTCGTGGGGGAGGAGCTGGACATTCTGACGACTGTGGCAGAGAGGAGGATGCTGTCCAGGCTTCAGTCCATCTTGGACAATGTCTCTCACCCTCTCTACGACACACTGGCACAGCAGAGGAGCACCTTCAGCAGAATACTCCTCTCACCCAGATGCACCACAGGAAATCATTCCTGCCTGTGGTCATCAAACTCTATAATGCCTCCCTCAGAGAGTCAGACACCCCCTCTCTGTAATCTGACTCAAACTTTTTTTTTTTTTTTTTTTGCACTTTATTAAACTGTATATATATATATATATATATATATATATATATATATATATATATATATATATATATAAAACTTCCCTCTCACCCTCTTGGGGTGGTATCTGTGTGTCATCCTCAAGCTCGGGTCCTCTACCAGAGGCCTGGGAGTTTGAGGGTTCTGCGCAGTATCTTAGCTGTTCCTAGGACTGCGCTCTTCTGGACTGAGGCTTCTGATGTTGTTCCTGGGATCTGTTGGAGCCACTCCCCCAGTTTGGGGGTCACTCCCCCGAGAGCTCCTACTACCACGGGGACCACGCTCGCCTTGACCTTCCACATCTGCTCCAGCTGTTCTTTCAACCCTTGGTACTTTTCAACCTTTTTGTGTTCCTTCTTTCTGATGTTGGCGTCTGCTGGTATGGTCACATCTATATATACAGTGGGTACGGAGGGTATTCAGACCCCTTTAAATTTTTCACTCTTTGTTTCATTGCATCCATTTGCTAAAATCAAAAAAGTTCATTTTATTTCTCATTAATGTACACTCAGCACCCCATCTTGACAGAAAAAAACAGAAATGTAGAAATTTTTGCAAATTTATTAAAAAAGAAAAACTGAAATATCACATGGTCATAAGTATTCAGACCCTTTGCTCAGTATTGAGTAGAAGCACCCTTTTGAGCTACTACAGCCATGAGTCTTCTTGGGAATGATGCAACAAGTTTTTCACACCTGGATTTGGGGATCCTCTGCCATTCTTCCTTGCAGATCCTCTCCAGTTCTGTCAGGTTGGATGGTGAACGTTGGTGGACAGCCATTTTCAGATCTCTCCAGAGATGCTCAATTGGGTTTAGGTCAGGGCTCTGGCTGGGCCAGTCAAGAATGGTCACAGAGTTGTTCCGAAGCCACTCCTTTGTTATTTTAGCTGTGTGCTTAGGGTTATTGTCTTGTTGGAAGGTGAACCTTCGGCCCAGTCTGAGGTCCTGAGCACTCTGGAAGAGGTTTTCTTCCAGGATATCTCTGTACTTGGCCGCATTCATCTTTCCTTCAATTCCAACCAGTCGTCCTGTCCCTGCAGCTGAAAAACACCCCCATAGCCTGATCCTGCCACCACCATGTTTCACCGTTGGGATTGTATTGGGCAGGTGATGAGCAGTGCCTGGTTTTCTCCACACATACTGCTTAGAATTAACGACAAAAAGTTCAATCTTGGTCTCATCAGACCAGAGAATCTTCTTTCTCATAGTCTGGGAGTCCTTCATGTGTTTTTTGGCAAACTCTATGCGGGCTTTCATATGTCTTGCACTGAGGAGAGGCTTCCGTCGGGCCACTCTGCCATAAAGCCCCGACTGGTACAGGGCTGCAGTGATAGTTGACTTTGTGGAACTTTCTCCCATCTCCCTACTGCATCTCTGGAGCTCGGCCACAGTCATCTTTGGGTTCTTCTTTACCTCTCTCACCAAGGCTCTTCTCCCACAGCTGCTCAGTTTGGCTGGACGGCCAGGTCTAGGAAGAGTTCTGGTCGTCCCAAACTTCTTCCACTTAAGGATTATGGAGGCCACTGTGCTCTTAGGAACCTTGAGTGCTGCAGAAATTCTTTTGTAACCTTGGCCAGATCTGTGCCTTGCCACAATTCTGTCTCTGAGCTCCTTGGGCAGTTCCTTCTACCTCATGATTCTCATTTGCTCTGACATGCACTGTGAGCTGTAAGGTCTTATATAGACAGGTGTGTGCCTTTCCTAATCAAGTCTAATCAGTTTAATTAAACAGAGCTAGACTCCAATGAAGGAGCAGGACCATCTCAAGGAGGATCAGAAGAAATGGACAGCATGTGAGTTAAATATGAGTGTCACAGCAAAGGGTCTGAATACTTATGACCATGTGATATTTCAGTTTTTCTTTTTTAATAAATTTGCAAAAATGTCTACATTTCTGTTTTTTTCTGTCAAGATGGGGTGCTGAGTGTACATTAATGAGAAATAAAATGAACGTTTTTGTTAATTAGTTAAAATTTTAAAGGGGTCTAAACTGAATACTTTCCGTACCCACTGTGTGTGTGTGTATATATATATATATATATATATATATATATATATATTATTTTTTTTTTTTTTATATATATATATTTGTTCTTAATATATGTTGTTTGTATATCTGGAGTTTGTAACGAAAATAATTTCCTCCTAAGTTTCTGATTCTGATTCTGATGTTGGATACAGAACTCTCCGTCTTAATTGCCATGCATTTTCTATTAAAAAAAAAATCTCCTCCTTAAAGAACCAACTCAACATTTCACCTTCAGAACAAATCAGGGTTCTTCAGTCTGACATACCAAATACCTCATGTGTCTACTGAATAATGAAGACATAACAAAAAATCCCCTCATGGTTTGACACAGTTCTTTTTTGTATGCAAGACTAAACAGGATGTTTTCTCTTCCAGTGTTCAACCACACATTACGTAGTCCTGTAAGGACAAAATCAACAACTCTGCCTTGCACATGATGGTGCAATCAACAGCAGCCCTAATCCTAACCCTAACCGTAACCACCTGCAGGCTCAACTTGTACGATCCTAGACGTTGTATGCGTCTGCTGTTTTTAGCATACAAACAAGAGAGACGAAATAAGTAAACAGTAAACAATGAGTAAACTAGAGTTTTTCCGCTATGTGAAGATATTGGTGGCAATTATTAATTTAATAACTTTGTGTCACAGTGGATTTCACTAATTTTAATTACTGTACAAGAATAAACCATCTTATCTTTATTTTGTATCTGTATTTCCTGAAAAGAATGTATTAGCATATGGAGGACTAAAAGTGCCAAAATTAAATAAATAAATACACCATTAAATAATTACTTAAATGTGTCATTAATTAATAAAAATTGGAATTAAATACATAAATGTGTTATTAAACGTGTCATTAATTCATTAAAATACCAATTAATTTTATGTAAAAAACATACATAATTAAAGCTGCAAGCAGCGTTGGGCGGGACCTCGCACTCCATGCAACTCGGGGCGTGCTGCGGCCGCGAAGTGTGCCGTCGTAACACATGCGGACCACAACATGAAAATTTCACGTAAATCAGATCAAATCGCCACGCAGCGCTTACTTCCTGTTGGCAGTAGGTGGCGCTCTCACTATATCTGAATATTGTCATGTAGACGTGTTCAGGGCGGGACTCTCATCAAATGTGAAGTTTTGCTGAGATTGGACCATGTACACTGAAATTATGATAACTTCCTGTTGCCACTAGGTGGCGCTATCACTATTACTGAATATGATCACACAGATGTGACTCTTATCATAAATTAACATATAACCATATGTTTTGCATTTTCTGACCACATTTGAGCTGGATCTGATCAACCTGATAGGAGTAGAACATAAAATTATAAAACTTGATATTTACTGTTGCTAGTAGGTGGTGCTATCATTATATCTGAATATTGTCATGTAGATGTGTTCAGGGCAGGACTTTGGGTTATGGGCTTACTGGGGGGCGTGGGTAAGACATTTTGCTTATTGTTAAGATTCACAAGATGTCATTGTCATCATCCGAAGGGAGTTCAGACAGGATTTTAGCTGGATCTGGTCAATCTGCTGGAAGATATACAGTAAAGTATAAAAATGACGGTGGGTGGCGCTATCACTATTACTGAATATTATATTGTATGTAGATGTGTTCAGGTCGGGACTCTTATCAAACGTGAAGTTTCATTGAGATTGGACCATGTACACTGAAGTTATGAGGACATGTACAGGGTGGGACTGTTACAGAATATGTATAGTTTAGTGGAGATTAGACATTGAACACTGAAGTTGAGTACTATCTATTTCATGGCGAATCGTCGAAATTCAATGCAACACCACGGGCACACTGTTCAAGGTACAGTCACAAATAGCACAACTGGTAATCAGGAACATATTTCAAGAGCAGATCCCAGAAATTCCCTAGGAGTTCGGTCAAATACAAGCCCAAAAAGTCAAATTGACCACAAAATGGTGAAAATTAAAATTGAAATTGCAGACTTCCTGTGGGTTTTGGGGCATGGGTCCAAGAGGCATTTTGTACGTCTCGGCACGTTACACGTGCCTACCGAGTTTCATACATATCGGTGAAATGTGGCGCCGGGGCTGCTTTTTTAAAAATCCTGTAGGGGGCGCTACAAACACGACAAACACGATTTTTGGTATGTGAGCTACAGGCACCAGTCTACACGTGTCCTGTGAATTTCATATTCATAACTATTACGGTCTCCGCATAGTGATTTACCATGCCACCAGAGTGCCACATAGTGGCATGATTTTTTTTCCTTTTTTATGGTGAGCCTCAGGGAGCCATGGGCAACCATCCTGCCAAGTTTAATTTTAATCACACTTGCCGTTGCGGAGATATAAACTTCTTCATTTTAAAGAGTGCCACCTTGTGGTGATGACCTGAAATTGTGTATGATGCATAATGAAGACATAATAAACTATTGACGCAAGTTTGGTGTCAATCGGACATACCAATGTGGAGAAATGCCCAACTTCCTTTTTTGACAAAAAATCAAAAGGAAGTGCTAATTTAATAACTTGCTTATTTTTTGAAATATCAAAATACTTTAAATTACTTTTTTTTTGTCAGGACGGTCTCCAGGTGCTACGTGCAAAATTTTGTGCGAATCGGACCAAAAGCGCATGGATGGAGCATGAACACATAGTTTTTGGACATTTCACGCTCTAGCGGAAATAGTGAAAATCTAGGCGGAAGTGGGCGTGGCCTATATAGGGAGATTCAGCTCCATTCACCGAACGCGTGGATATAAGGTTTTTGAATGTGAGACAAAGTATGCAGGAGTTATTAGCCTAACCGCATTTTTTATGATAGTAGTGCCACCTAGTGGCCGACCTGAATGTGATGCATAGAATATCCGATTTTACACCAGGCCCAACAACTTTGCCAAATAAAATTCACGAAAAGTATACATTCAGGGGGTCAAAAATGCAGCGAAAGGTCCTAAACGTAATAATAAACAGACCAATAACAATAGGGACCTTCCAGTTGTCACTGGCTCGGTCACTAATTATTTCACTATTTAATTAATTATTTCATGGTCCTGTGTTGCAGTGCTTCATGAATTCATTTTATCTGTCAAACTCACCCATCAAAGTCAGTGGGGGTGGGGTTAACGCTTATCTTGTGTGATCCATTGCTTTGGTCTGAAGCCAGAACTGCTTTGTTGGAATATTGTAGGGGGTGAATCGGACAAAGCGCATAGGAGGAACACAAAAAAGTAGTTTATGGACATTTAGCAGAACAAAATCCTAGGCGGAAATGGGTGTGGCCTATATGGGGAGATGCAGCTCACTTCACAGAACGCGTGGAAGCTTTTTGAACGATGCGGGAGTTATTAGCCTAAACTCACTTTTCTTGATAGTAGCGACTTGAAAGTGACGCATAAAATATAAAATTTTTCACCAGGCCTGACCACTTTGCCAAATAAAATTGACTTTTTCGTATATGTTCGGGGGGCAAAAATGCAGTTAAAGGGGCTAAAAATAATAATAGCAAAGAATAATAATAAGAAACAAAGCAAATACCATCTCAGTGGTCGCTGGCTCGGTCCCTAAAAAATGCAATATATTGAATCACACCCCCTGTATCATGTATGGTATTGCCAGATTCTTGCCAATACAGAGCCCTATAGTTAATGCTATACATTAATCTGAGGAAGTACAGGTACAGCACACGATGCGCGTGTCTTAATGCAAGCTGTCACTGAATGTAAAATACACAAGCCTTTACTTCATGAATAGTGGGCCTGTCTGAGACCATACACTTTAAGCTACCTAGTGAGTGGAGCAGTATTACACAGTTTATCACTTGAAACGTGGCAGACGGACATTCCTTTTTTCAGTATTTCTGGTTATTGGCGATTGTCACATTACAATTTTAAGCTTTCTCCTTTATTAGGAAGGTCCACCTGCAGGTCAATTTCTAGAAAAGATGTTTTTACCACAGCAGGATAACATGAATTGCTTGCTTGCTTGTTTTTCAACTCATGAAAACTTATCTCCCCACCAGGATGACACAGGACTTGAAAGAAGAGTTCCCACCTGGAGGAGTTGGAGAGAGAGACAGAGGAGCCTGAGGGCCTATGTCGCCGCCGGCCTCGTGGTGGAGACCCCAGCCCGGGGCGTCTTCTGGGGGATTTGGACCGACGCCACGGGTCCTTCCACTCATCTGGTCGCCTCATGACTGGAACGACCTCCTTCTTTGAGGGAGGCTCCATCGGCCTGCTGACAAGATTGAAAACATGGTCAGTGGTTGGTTAGAGACGAGTCTAAAAATCTAGGCATTTGGGATAAACTGGATGTCAGCATTTTTTTTGCCAATTTAAATATTGCATACAATGTCATGAGAACTTTCACCGGCTCATGTATTGTTCTAATTAGGGGATTAATAATGCTGCTATCCATTTGTCTCGTAAATCCCCCGCCCGAGTTGCTCTGACGCGCTAACGTGACGTTTGTACCACTTATAGCGTTCCTGTTTGTCTTTGGGCATTACGAGTCGGAAATAACATGTGCAGCAGCTGTGTTGTTATTTTTTTCTCGAGCCACCAGGGGCAGTGGCAGGCTAGTGTTATTGTTAGCTACAGGAAAACAGAATTTTTAGCAGGCAATAACGAAAAGTAACTGTAAACACTAGAGCATGTGAATGAGAGGGAGGCTTTTGGGTGGAACTTTAAAAAGTTGGAGCGTCACCTTATCTCCTCTGAAAGAGGACAAACAAAGGACATGAGGTGCTGATTCTTAATACATTTGTAAAAATGTTTTTATTTATTCATTTATTTTTAACCACCATATTGTGGGAACAATTTTCACAGCTGTGGAGCAGTGAAATATGGAATTCTCTGAGGATGTATCGTTTCAGATTAAAAACTCAACTATGAACTCTGAACAAATTCACAACCCAAATTCACAAAGTATTTTGCAGGTTGTGTGAGAATAAGTGAGTGAGTGTGTTGTCTGACTTATAAACCTTTTGCACTGAAAATGGCTTTTGATTCACATATAGGTGTAGTCCAATGATAATTTCCCCATTACTGATGTCACTTTTAACATATTTTAATAAACAAAGGGGACTTGACGTCAATAAGGTGTTGGACTTGCTGTCAAAGGCTACATACAAAAGGTCAGGTGTGATGAGTCAAGGATGGACAAATAAAAAGTACATAACTGTACAAATTTAGCTGGTATCTGTGGCAAATTTGTATAGGTATTTATAGATACACTGAAAACAATGACAAAGATAAGTGGCTAACATGAAACTGCACACAGAAACTCAGTCATTTCCGAGCTTGGATGTACTGATAAATATTTGGGCTGGGATTCAAGGGGCTATGATTCAGTTATAAAAAAGGCTTCATCTTAAATTTGGAACCAGTTAATTGTTAGAATTAATATAATATATATATAATCTTATACTAGGGCTGGGCAATATGGAAAAAATTTTTATCACGATATGTTTTCCCATATTGATCGATCTCGATTCTTATCACGATATGTAGTTTTTGCAGATGCTGCCAGTGTGAGGGACATCCTGAAGCTTGAAGAAACAAGAGATTCACTGAAACTTTATAATAATAAAGTTTAATAACATAAAAAATTAAAGAATATGCCTTCCAATAATAAGCACAAAATTTTTTTGTTAAGGTCTTCATGCAGACAAAGGATTCACATTACACTCCCACATTGTATGAATCTTTCCATTGGTCAAGAGAGCAGCAAGGCCCACAACTGGCAAAAGAAAATTCAGTGCAGCGCTCTTTCACTCATACAGAGTTTTATATGCTTTCAAAATAGTTCAAACTAATAAGTGACTGGTCACTTTTCACTACATTTTACATTTTTTGATTTGTAAACAACAACTTATTTAAACACCTTAAAAAACAATTATTAAATAATAATAATCTCAAATAATCTCAAATATTTCATATTATTACGACTGGATAGATTGTTGTTGTTTAACAGAGCCGCTCCCGCTAGCGATGCTGACGGCAGACGTAGTGGTCTTGCTTGGCTGTGTGTGTGGTGTCGTGCCAGCTTGAGCCTGCAGAGTCACACTCTCGGTGTAATTACTGGGTCGGTGCCGTCTCAGGTGATGGAAAAGATTTGTTGTGTTCCCCGTCCTGGCTGGTACCAACCGCTGGCATATTTTGCAGACCTGCTCCTGGTCACTTTTGCCGTATCCAAACCACGTTTACACAATTGACGTCGTGTTACCTTTTTTTTCAACAATGTCTTCGGTCTCGGGTGATGTAGTGATGTCGCTTTCGCGTTCGGCATTATTTTCGCTGTCCTCGACTTCAGTTTCGCTCATTTTTTCTCCTTTTTCCAACTTCTTTCCCCCTAACTGTAGCCACGCTGCTCACAATGGGAAGTGGGCGTGTCCTACCGGCATACGGCAGCCGGCAGACTCTGATACTGTTGCGCTTACTTTTTCATGTGATATCGAATAATATGTCCCAAGCTTATTATCGAAATCGATCAAAATTTTATCGCGATCCCGAATCGAGATCGAATTATCACCCAGCCCTATCTTATACTATGTATCATCATGTCACCCAACCATGAAACCGTGAAAACAATTAATAGTAATAACCAGCTGAAATGATGCATCACAGACATATATGGGAGAAGATTTGCAATGAACCGTGGGATAACTCACAGCAGCAACATTTACTATTAACGTGTATGGGATTTTCCCCAGTAGAGATGTTTATGTGAAACAGACAGCAAGATTGAAGTGTTTATCTTCAAACCTTTCTCTAAATATTTGTTGGAGGAAATGAACAAGATAACTGGATATGCCCACTGAGAATGAAACTGTACTGTGTTACAGAAACTTTGAGTGAATGCTTGAAGGAGTCCCATCTCTGTGCCAGTTGCTGCCTGGTAAAGGCCAAGGGTAGGCATTTTAACTGGTGTGAGGAGCATATTTTGGTTCACTATTACAATAGAAACTGCCTTTGGACTATGTTCTGTGCAAACAGTTTAAAGCTTAATATCATATGCAACAAGGAACAAATTAAACACTACCACAAATCTGGAACAAGCACACAGACTTGGAAGTACATAATTCTCTTCTTGAACAAAATAAATGTGTAAATATACAACATTCTATATTTCGATATTTGCCTTTTTAGGCACATATCCCAGAGTAAATGAGAAATTCCACAGGTGTGATGCAAGAGCATACAATGTGGCCTCACCAGAGCACAACTCAGAGCTAAAAATAGAATCACAACATGGCTATTTTTAGCTCTTAGTTTATATTCCTATTAATAGAATGTTTCCTTTGAGTAAGGAATGAAAAAAAGGAAGGAAGTGGGGCAAATAAACCCACAAGGTCCACAGAGTATAACAAAAGGTACTAGGATGTTTGCCAACCTTTGTGGGCTTAATGAATCTGCGTGAGAAGCCTTCTGGAAAAACACAACCTTGTCTGGTGGGAGGAGGCTCAGTTGATTGTACACATTTAAATTGAACTTTGCACTGTGTTTTTTAATAGAGAGCAGATGTTTATTAAAAAAACACCATGTAGACTACAGGCTTCAGCAAGCAGCGACTAAAGATAGATATGGATCTTAAAATCTCTATTGAAATGCAAAATACAGTTCAATTTAATTACATATTAAGACCTGTTTAAGACCAACTGTGTTTTGACTAAACTGATTCTTATTGATTTATGCTAGCTTTCAGTAATCAAAACATAGATTTCTACATTTTTGTTGTTCCATGTCGCCTCTGGCAGGTAATATTTCCTGAGAGCTTTACGTCACCCATCACTAAACACAATAGCAAAATATGGGTTTGGCTCCCAGTCGTTGATAATAAAGGTGAACGAAACGTCAGTATTGTTTGTGCCTCTGAGGCTGATGAGAATACATAGTTAAGTTCCACATTTTCAAAAGCAGGAAACACAAATGCGGGCAAAACAATGGAAATATGTGACACCACTGGCCGTGTTATCAGTCATTAAACCAGCGGACTGAAAAAAGGCAGACAGAGTTGTAGTAGTGATTCACTGGGAGGAATATCTTGTTACATTGCATGCCACAACAAAGGCATAGCCTTTAGTGGTGACTGGGATTTCTAGTTACAAATTTCCATGTCTTTTGTGACAGTCAAAACTAACAACTAAGTGGTTGAGAGCACCCTGAACAAGATAAAAAAAACAAAGAACATAAAAAAAAAAGGCATAAATATCATATAACCAGATTAGATGATATGTTTTAGAGTAATTAGAGTGATTGGATTGTTACATTTGTGGGCTTAAGAGAGACTATCTACTACTACTACCTATTTGCACATGGCACACCACCTGCGTTACCTATGCTAATAGCAACACGTCTCCAGTTGGACTTGAAGTTGACTTCTCTTATATTTCCTCTCTAGAAAATCAAGAGAAACTGACAGAAACTTAAGACAATGTTAGTGCATGGCTTGAATGCACAAACATTTTGTGGAACCTGGTTTTTCCATGTAAACTATGAATTGGCAGTTATAAAATATAAAAAGAACTTATACTGATGGCAGTGATCGGTATCGGTCAATACTGCTTCTAGTGATCTGCCTCAAAAACCCTGACCCTTATCCAGCTGGGAACCAACTTTTCAGGTTCTGAACCAATTTGTTTTTGGTATAAATGCTCCAAACAGTTCAAATTAGGTGCCTAACCTAATACAAACATCTTCTTCTGATGAAAGAAGATGATGAAACTGATGAAGTACTGAGGCAAGGGCAAAAGGATATTGACATGGTAATGAGTCATTTTTAAACAAGATGAATCATCACTTAATAGTGTAAAAATATCTTCACGTTTCCTACCCCATATATATAGGCTTAACACAGCAGTGAAAAGACTTACTGCCACATACTCCATGTCATGGTGTTTTATGTGAACAGAATGGGGACCTACAATAAATCATTTTTTTAGGACTGAATAAATATTAAATATAGTGTGAGCAGTGAAAAATTGAGTGGACAAGAGTTTATTTGATAAGATAAAATTCCGAAAATAATAGGCTTTTTCACAAATGGGAGCCAATCAACAGGGCAACACTTCAATGCAGAATCTTATATACCACCCTTGTATTATTAAATATTCAACTAGCTTAGCTGGCTACTAAAATTCAAAAATGCACTGCTAGGTTTATGAGGACGGCAGTCAGAGTTCATCATGCTCTTCATCAGCTTTCACTCCTTTCCAGCTTTTACTGAGCTTAATGTAAAGTGGGAAGTTGAAGTGGAAGTAGAAACATTTTCAAGCTGTCTGCTTATCACCTTCATTATAACGTAAAATATAGCAACTTACATCACAGCAAGAAAACGTGTTCTTTGTTTATGTTAGATAATGGATGTTTAAAGTCTCCTACCACGCACAATCCTATGAAAATGAAGGCTCGCTAGCTACAATAGCCAATGTTGGTAACCAGAAACATCTATAATCCATTGTCCATTTGATAATCTAAACAAAGGACACTTTTTCTTGCAGTGGCCTTTCTAAAAGTGAGCAATGAGGTTGGAGCGTCACTGCTTGCTTTCAAACGACAATGTACATCAGTCACTTTTTGGCAGCACTGAGCGTAAAAAAGAGCCATAGGGACCTAACATTATCTAGGCAGTGACAATCAGGCTAACATTGCTAACAGAGATGGTTGTCAAAATGTTGGGAAGAATAGATTTGATTAAATACCAGCAAATTCTGGAAGCAAAAATCATCTGTAAAGGAAAGCTTCTACAACAGGATAATGATCTAAACTTACCTTGAAATCCACCATGGACTACCTCTAGGTACTCTCTCTAAGGATAATGTAGGATGGCCAAACCATTGCACATGCCACAATAATGTTATTTTCGTTCAATTTATAAAATAAGACAAACAATGCATAAATGTTTGCTGCAAATATTATGTTCCATACCCTTGAGAGGCTTTACATCTTTTAAAAGAACAAAAATCACCAAAATGTGTTCTTTATTAAGGGGTAGCCAAACTTTTACATACAACTGTAAGTGGCTGAGTCATATCTGTTCATGTTAAAGTTTACTAGAAGCTTCTAAGTTGCTCATGGTGCTGGATATGGCTGCCACCAAAAAAACTCCAATGTTTGGAGCACAAAAGACTAATTATGGCTAATATTAAGTTGTCATGAATGCTTTTCTGTAGTAACAGAAAGGTGGAACTTGAAAGACAAACAAAAATCTAAAGCTTCATGAGATCCCACCCTGGCACAGTCTCATTCATTTCTTGTTACTGTTGTTCCCAGAAAGTAACTCACCAAGCCTGACAGATATTGTTAATGGAAGGGAAATTTTCTTTTGAAAATGACACAAAATAAACAAACCATCAAGACCAAGAACAACTTTTTCTAAAACACTATGTGTGTTAGAATAAATACAGTTATGACGGCCTTAGAGTTAATATTTGATGGTAGTATTTTGTCGCCTGTATGGTCTGCTTATAAAATATAATGTAGTGTTACAGTTACCTAAGGTCCAGAGTGTAGAACTTGAACTAGAACTATGGTGGCCAAGTAACTCGCAAAAAAAAGTGAAAAGACCCATCTAGAGCTAGTGTTAGGTTTTTCCATTCTGGGCTACTGTAGAAACATGGTGGTTCAACTTGGCAGACTAAGGTCATAAAAACACAAATTTTATTTTCAGGGGATTATATATTAATTTAAATATACCTATGAATATTATATTCCATTTCTGATAATAGATCCTCCTGAATGTTACACACTGGACCATAATATGATGAAACTAACATGACACATCAGTGCATGTGTGTATGTGTATTTTCACTTTGTAGTATTGCTCCTTTTACTTAAGTAAAGACTAAGTACTTTTTCCATTACTGCATTTTTGTTATGGAGCACTGCAACAGAACATATAGGTTCCACACAACTTACACACAGAAGTAAAACATACAAATCAACAGAAGTTGTATCTAAAGATGAAGATGAAGCTGCTCACCAGGAAAAGATCCCACATGGCAACCAAACATTTTATCCGCTATGTGTAACTTTGTCATACAACGTTATTATATGTAAATTTGACACATCAGGCAACAGAGGTGGAAGTGGAACTGTAATAAATGTTTCCTGGTGAATCAACCCGCCACCTGTTACTCTAAATAAAATAAATCGAAGTTCATTAAAATTCACTACACTGAAGCTACTTCTCAGAGAAATGTAGCAAGCTAAGCTACAGCTACATGGCAAAAGTAGTTTACACACATGGAAGGTTTTTTTTTTTTATTACACTGAACCAACGTCATTCTAAATCAGTGTTATCTCAGTGATCATTATTATTATATTATTATTATTATTATTATAATAACTGTCTGTCACACGGACTGACAATCATGCCCTTTACTATCGTAGCAATATTCAACTGGAGCATATAAACAATTAAACAGCGTTAACTCAACAAACAGTAATTACAACTATGGTTCTCCAGTCTCTATTCTATATTTTTGTATATATTGGAGTTAGATATTTAGTAATTGTATGTTATATAATTCAGCCTTGAGTTGTCATTTGTTTCTTTTACCTACCTCATTGTTTTGGTATTTTAACTGATTGACTGATGTCACTTAACACTTTAATTTCCCTTTGGGATTAATATCTGTCTGTCTAATTTTGACTAACCACCATACTTTGGTTAATCAAGTTAGTTTTGACTTTCATTTTAATTGTAAGCCTACCCTATGTTGGTACAATATGGAGCATGACATTATTCATGATGCCATTTAAAACACATATACTGTTAAATTATAAACCACAACAATCATGAGTCATGGCTTTAGTTCCCTGTTTGGCAGGAAGACGTTTATATATATATATTTTATAAACTAATTATTAAAAAACTACACCACTTACTTGGGAGGCAGGCTGAGGGGAGAGCGTGGCTTCAGTTTGTCCTCGTCTTTCTTTTCCCTGGCGTCTCGAGGAGGACGCATCCTCGGCCTCTCCTTCTCGTCCCGCTTCATCCGGTCCCTCTCCCACTCTTCTTTCCGCCGCATCCTCTCCTTCTCACGCTCGCGCTCTCTCTCCTTCTCCCTCTCTCTCTGCCGGCGCTCCCTCTCGCGGTGATCTCTCTCCCTCTCTCTGTCCCGGTGGCGCTCCCGAGGGTCGCGGTCACGTTCACGCTCCTGTTGAGATGAATATGTTCAGTTTTCTAGCCATAAAGAATCACTCTGGTGATGCCTAGACAGCACTGACATCTGTGTTGTGATCCGTTCCGGTGGATACCGTTCATATAGGAATCAGCATCAGTTTGGATACAGTCCAGACATATGACTTCAGTAGCGTCAGTAGCTCTTTGAGCCACATGGAATTAAAGACCTAACACTGCCTGTGTTGGTGCCTTGCTGACAACTTGCTGAAAAGCTCTTTTGAAGAAAAATATATACAGCTGGTCTGATGTCTTTGTGCCATTCAAGTGTTGCCCTCTGCTTGGACACTTTACTGTATGTGGTTGAAGGACTCACTTTGGTGATGAAAACCTTAGAGAGAAGTATTTGAGCAGACTGTGCAGGATACTCACACTGTAGTGGTAAGGAACAGGAGCTTCTGTGTACTGCACTCTGAAGTTTTCATACTGGCCACCTCGCCATAGAGCCTCCATTTCATAGTCATAGTATGGATCAGCATATGGGTCACTGCAGAGGAAGACACATTTGAGAAACTGTACAGAACCTCAAAGGTTACTAAGATGTTCATTTAACACAAAAGGGAAAATAAATTGGTTTTGCTGCTTTATTTCCTTGTGATTGTGTTTTTACAAACTGCTATAAGACATGATATTTTACAGACCGATACTGAATTGTGTACAATTCTTTTTCAGTTTTCCTAGTTCAGTTGAAATTAAAAGTCATGAAATGGCAATTAATTATGAATGCGTCAGACTTTTCAAAAGGAACATACATGACTTTTTTTTATTTGTTTGCCCACAGCATATCAGAGTTGGAACACCATAAAAAGGGACCTTATACACCATTGTTGTTGCAGCAATGTTTTCATCTCTGACAAGAGACCTGGACAAAAAAGCTGTGTATAAATCATTAATGGTCTTCCAACCGTGACATAAACGTGGAGCAGGGTTCTATTCAACAGTTGCTACAAAATCATCTCCCTTGGGATACACAGGTTACATCTAGATCTGTCTACACATTATTGCCTAGTAAAGATTCGGGCTCTGACGGGGAACAGAAAACTGACAAAGTGAGGTGTTAACAGTTAGTCTAAACTTACCCATATATAGGATCTCTGAAGTCCATTTCACTGAAAGAGAAAAACAGATTAGAATCAATTACAAAAACAATCGTATCATATTTAATATACGCAGGACAAGGAGAGGCAGACTGTGTTTACATCAATGGTGCTTGGTGCTCAAATGTATACCGTTTCCCAAATGTCAAACTATGTGAAGATGAAACCATATTATCATCACCATCTTGTTACTGCTGTTTATATTCCAACACATGCATATTCAAAAAGTGCACTGCAGGAAATATTTGTGCACTTTTATTTAAAATTTGAAAATTCATTCGAACACAGTTCACTTTTAAAGTGTAATAACCTGTTTCGAATTAAAAAACAGGTTGTTTGAAGTAGTTTGCCTTGTGATGCAGCAGAGGGCACTCCACTATTAGATTGATCTATGACATGCCCTATTGACCCGTCAGTAGCTAGTAATGTTATGTTGTTTACTATGAAAATGGAATGGAGAATGAAGGACACTAGCAAGTAAAGTCATCCTGAGCGGGAAATCATGACACGAGAGCACGTGAGAAGCTTCTGTCGGCTTTGAACAAACCAGCTGATGACTCTACAACCACAACAAATCTGCGGACTCACTGGATAACATTAGTCTGCCACCCAAGTGAGGCAGCAGAGTGGAGGCACCTCAGACAAGTGGTAAAACTTCAAGTGTACAACCTCGTCAGACTGCTATTATTCGGCACATTCAGCTTCAGCGGGCCCCTGATCAGAAGCTTGTAAAACTGCCTTCCCAGATAAGAGAGCATTTATGTGATTTCTATGCAAAGATGAACGGATATGTGAAGAGCCAATGTCTTGTCCTATAGTAGTCTTTGTTTTTTTTGCTCAAACATGATTTTTGAGAAGAAGTGACAACACTAGTATATATGTATAAACAAGTGCATATATTATTATGTTTAATTATGTTATTCTAATATAAATAGAATTTTTTAAAAGGTCATGGAGGGAAGCACACTCTCAGCATCAGAGGTTCTGTGTAAGGCTGCTGCTTTGCATCAGTGACACTGTGTCTTCTGAGTCTTATTTTCAACTGACAACACAATGTGTTCAATGGCAGCAGATCATACTCTCTGATGATGCGGTAGCTGCGCTCCCTGAAGAAATCATTCTCTTTGTCAAATTCTCTCTCGTCCTCTCCAATGGTCACGTTGAAACGCTTCTCCTCAAAGTCTGGCTCTTGCTCCTTACGGATGGTGGCCTTCTTCAGCACCTATGGGACACACAACAATTTGTTTAAAACACTGATATAAATGGCAGCAAACATGTACCACAGATACGTGAACTCGTAAGGCAATGTCCAACCATTTCTGGATGTTGCACTCGCTGCTGCTTTTAATGAGATTGTGAGCAGGTATTGCTACTATTTAAGACTTTTCAGACATTTTAAGACCATTATGGGTGCAATTTAAGACCTATCTAAAAAAAAAAACTGTATTGGTTCCACATCCCTATTGATTTGTAGTTGTTACAGCATGATCAATAGACATTGTTCACGAAAATACATTTCAAAGAGACGGAAAAAATACAACTTTATACAAGTAACATAATAATCCAATCAACTTTTAAGACCTGTCAAAATCATATTTAAGACATTTTAAAGAGATAAACTATTGGATTTTAGACTTTTTAAGACCCCACAGACACATGAATTAATGAGGGTAGGCTAAAATAACATACCTCTCTGTATAATGCAATACAGTTCAACAGAACCAAAAACTACATCCTCCAAAAAGACAAGAAGCAACATTTTCCAAAGTGGTGACAGGAACGGGTAGTAATAAAGTAATAATAATACAGTAGTAGTAATAAAACTGTAAACACTCCGACTGATAAGATCTTCTGTTTGTGTCATTCTACAGTCGCAGGTAGTTTACACACTCGACAGCATGACAGCCATTCCAGTTGGCTCAATTTTGTTTCTGTGAGAGGCAGTGGAGGTGTTTACCTCTTTGGCATGCCTCAGACCCCGCTCCCAGGCACTCTCCACAGGAGGCTCCACTGGAGGAGGGGGTGGGGGAAGCTCTTCCACTGCAGGTCCGGCCTAAAACAGGAACAAATTAATTGACACTTTCTCTACGTTTGCACACATTTTGTACTCTGATCCTTTCTTCTGTCCTTATGATTTATCAGCGTTTAGGTACTGTAACAATGTTACAGAAGTCTGTCAGGAGTCAATTTCTTCAAAAGCAGATATTATACCACATTTTTACTTTAAAATAATAAGTGTCTTCATATCAGTGCCGCAAAAATGCAGAGTAGTGGGAGATAGACGTACCCAAGGATTATTGGGTATAAGTGGGTGTGGTCCTCCAGGAGGCGCTCCGTTAGGTGAGAAGAGGTCTGGCTTGGTGATGAGAGAGTAGTTACCTTTGTCATTGACTCCAGGGTGGATGAACCTACAGTTCATACCCCAAGTACAATTTCCTGGAGAAAATAAAATGTAAGTTTGGTTTACTTCAGGCACAGTTATCCGGCGTAACAAAAAGTGGTACTTTCTTGAATTAAGGCAGTGAAATTAGGTGAATGTTTTTATATACCACTCAAGTATATTGTAAAAGCCCATGCTGATGCTTTCCCTCATGGGTGCAAGAGTGTGGTCTTTTGAAACAGATGTCAACGAGAGATATTCTAAGGGATATCAATATGCATTCTTGTAAACATCTTCAATTCAGTAACAAATTAGGTGAAACAAACAGCCAATTCCACAACAATAAAATACCAGCAGTGAAAAATATATTGGACCAATCACACATTAATGTCAGTCCTGTACCCCCATTATCCATTCTCAAAGATCAGTTACTTTTATTTTAAGTCTATATTTTATATATATATTTTGGAGTACATTGCTATGGGCAATGTATGAAGGAACTAAAATCATAAAGTACAACGGCTCCACCTGCTGTACAACAACTTGCATAACAATAGATGATATTTTTCACATGGTCTTCTTAGCAGTAATAAAACAGACATTATTACAATGTTACATTGTTATACATATATCATTGCATGCGTATGGGTGATTTCAGTGTTCAATCAAAGTGAAATCACTAATATCCAAAAATCCAACCCAAAAGCATTATTTGTGCTCCTGTATATCAAAAACGAGTCAAAGCTTGTTATCTTTACAGTTATCTTTGTCAAGGCTTTCCTCAGAAACAGAATGTAACAACAGCACAGTGCCATCATCCTCTTTTGGAACATACTACTACAAAACGTCTGAAACACGTCAGGAAAGTCAAGGAAACTCACAAATTCCCCAGAGCTCAAAGAGTTGTCTAGTTCCACACATTTCAATTTTTTCATTTTGTTTATCATATGAGATTCTAGTACAGCATCAGTTGTGAAAGCTTGTATTCTATTCTCTGCCCACAATTTAATATCAGCAACATAGTTTTAACATCAACAAACTATTTTGTCACAAATCCCTTAAACATGGTTATTAAAGAGTAGCAGACCTGCCAACCTTGGGAAAATATAAGTACCCCCAATAGTGCAACACTTCACATGCCTTTGCACCACTTTGCTGTGTACACAGTACGCCATATCATCAAATTATTCAACATATACGTAGACAATGAAGAAAAAAATTATTACTACTTTGTACTGCACAATATTCTAGAGGGAAATAATTTTAATGATTTATATATTTATTTAGTGATACACCATTACATTTATTTTACATATACAGATATCAGTTACTTTTTAGATCAGTGTTTTATGTTTAAAACATTTGATCATCTTAATAACATAAAAATATAAAATAGTATTGTTATACATTAGATCATTCATTTCCAGCGACTGGGTCACGACGCAAACATAGGCTGCAGATTTTATTATGAACAAATTTGCAGAATCCTCACTAAATGCACTTATTGTGCCTTAACTCTAACTATATGCAATTTTTTTGTGAGTGCACATTCTGTTAACTCAATGTCTTTATTTTGTTTAATTTATAAAGTATGTAAAATGTGTATTGTTTTACCAAGGAGAGGAATAAAAACAATGAGACAGCCCGTTACAGTAACTCTGCTTAAATGCATTTATTAGGTCTTATTTATAAAGTATTTAACGTGTTTTCAATAACACATTCATAAAACAAACTTGTGATCAAACTTATATCTCTTCAAAATGGCTGCTTTACCTGTTCAAGAAAATAAGAGGTGATGCAGAAAATTTGTGCATAAATGAACGTTTCTGACCATTTTCATTTATGCACAAATTTGCTCTTCTCACTGTGAATTGGGTCACCATGGATTGTCAGTTTTTAATAGTGGGTGGCCAGAAAACCGGATTAGACTACCCAAAAGTAGAGCCAAACTGTTCAGTTGACCACTTTAAAATGCGGCTTACATCTTAATAAATGAGTATTTATGAAAATTATAACTTTGTAAATAGGGATAGTTTCCATAGTAAGTGTTTACTTTTATCAACTTTTCTTAAGTACATTTTGCTACCAATACTGTATTTTTATTTAAGATTTGAAATGCAGTGACTTTATAAAATATCTCAGTATTTATTACATTACACTGGTCATAGACTACACGGTGCCAATACACAAATGCAAATTAGCTACATAAGGTTAGGCTAATTTTATTAATGTGAATAAATGAATGATTTCTACTTTCTACATCACCCCAGACTGTAATTTACCTTTGCTAAAGGAGCTAAAAGACTGTTGCTAGAGGAAACAGCCAGCTGGAGTGAGGTGGGATAAAATCCATGTTGTGTTGTCAATTTGCAGTCTCTTGAAATGACATTACGCTTGTCAATCATCATCAGTCCTACCAGAGAATGTCTAATAAGGGGAGAAGTTCCACTCTCGGTAAACTTCTGGCTTCTGAACTGTTGCAGTTCCGCTCTGGCTCCATATGAGGGCGCTCACAGGATGAGTGCAGAATGAATGGCGGTCTAGGGAGCTATACCCCTCAAAATCCACTTTTCTCGGGATAGAATTATAATAAAGAAATGACACATTGCTGGGTGTTAGATTTTTTAGAGTCACTTATTTGCTTTAAAAAGTCTTTTAAAATGTCAATGACGTCATACACATCGTACGGCCAGAGACACCGCTTTACGGCAAGCCTTGAGTCACTTTGTGCTTCCGCGCTCGGCACTTCCTTTTCTCTCGAGGCATCGACAACACAGCTGACACAGGTTAGGCTCTCCCTGTCAATACACGTGCTAGAAAGAGTTTTTGTTTTGCTGTTTTAAACCCCACGCCAAAATATTCATATTCCCGCTTCGGATGCCACGATGCCATCAAGCGGGATCTCTGGTCGTAATCAGTCCTTCACTGACCAATCAGTGTTCATTAGCAGAATGCTAGCGTGTTATGGGCAACAACAACTCGTCCTGTAAGAAATCGAAAGGACATAAGTACTCGTTCATTCAACTTTCGACCTATAACCCATGTTGAACTTGCAAAACTACAATCAAATCTGAGATTTCTCAACCACAATCAGGTGAAAGAGACAAATTTAGCCGTCTAGCTCAATAGACTCCCATTCATTTTGCACTCATGGGCGATCGCCCCCAGTGGAACTCTGGTGGAACTGCAACCAAAATTCAGTACAATGGGACTTAATAGAGAGTGGCCAGGCTCTCCATAGACGGGCTCTGGTCTTATCCACTTGATATCTGGGTTGGCAGAGGAAATGAATCCAGCGCTATGACTGGTCAGACACTTGCTGCCTTATGCTGTTAGATTTGAGTACCCCTTGTGCATAATTGAATACACAGGGCATCACCAGCTTTTTGCGTAGTTTAGAAAGACAAACTGTACCAGCGTACTTTGATATCAAAATGTATAAAGGTTGGCAGGTCTGTACTGAACAAGAAAATGTACTCGATATGTAATAGCTCAACTGTTTCTAAATGACCTGAAACATAACTTTGCCATTGTGTCTCTGCAACTCAATGGCTTACACATACACAGACAAGCTCAAATCGGCCAATAACGTCAGCCATGATATATTGGTCGAGCTCTGGGGCAGGATCTGCTCTTGACCACCTACCTTTGATGAAAAACCTGCAGATTGGACGTGGTCTGATCTTCCTGTCCGAGGGATCTTTGACCTCCCCCTCCTCCAAGTCATCGTCCTGCCCACACATACAAAAGGCAAATCATGACACATTAGAGCGTATTTTAGTATCCTACTTATTAATCATGCTAAAAGTAAAGCATTTGGAGAGTATCTTATTTGTATTCCATGTTAAAAAGTTTAGGGTAGGCATTTGGCATTATTCATTGTATTGGACATAAAAAACAATACAAGTACATTTTTAGAAATTAAACAATGTGACAGTCCTAATTTTAAAATCATCAACAGTATGTGACACTGCGCTGATCAACAGGAAGGTCTGTGTGGGGCATCAGGTTTTACTGTTGAGGAGCTCACATGTAGTAAGGTAACACTGAGCAACCAAGAGGAGAGCCCATTTCTTTGTCAAAGACAGGATGTCTCTAAGATGATTTTTGCAATTAACAAAAACAGATTATGAAGACAGCTAGATCTTTGTTGGTACTCAGGCAAAAGGTCAAGTTGATTGTTGTTGATAGAACTACAATGACTTTAAAAACACATCATGTTAACACCAAAAGGCTATGGCAAAAAAGTGTTTGTGTGTCTCAAAACAGTATCGTGCCTTCATGACTACTCAAACAGCCACTGCATCTAGAAATAACACGGCCACTAGCATCTCATGCTGTCTTCAGGCCAAAGCCAAAATCCAATCCTGATAATCAGACTAATTTGCTATTTGGTTTCATTATTGTGCCTAATATTACGTTCATCCGTAGGGATAACTTTTCAGACTCCTCAACGTCATTATCAGTTGACATGGAAGCTGCAGTTGCTGTGTTATTCGCATATTTCTTATGGACGTACACATTTTTCCTAGCTCTGGTCATCTTCATGAGCTGTAAACAGTGGACACAAACCACAACTGCTGGAAAACAAACAAGAAAGAAGAAACAACAACCATTCTGTCCTTGCTTGTGCCATTTTGACAGTTTGATCTGAGTTTGGTGCGTTGAGCTGGACGGACTCACTGAGAATGACCTGTCAATCACAAGGTAGCCCCGCCCTAAAGCATACCCTCTTTTAGGGTCTATTCTACTCTTTTACTTCTCCATAGGATTCCATACTATTAGGTTTTTTTGGAGCTGGCCATTACACAGAATGCATGTTTAAGACACTTCAGAGTTGGCTTTACTTCACGGACCCGGAAGCTCTGTCCATTATATATACTGTCTGTGGTTGAGGTACAAAACACAGTACAATAAAAAAAGAATCTGCATTTGATGGAATTTACTTTAGCCACCTCCAATCTACTTACATATGGCCAAATCCTGATACACTGATGGGTGTTCATGATCTCTACTGTCCAGCCATAACTGCAGTCTCAATCCAGTGGATTGTATTTTACAGTTTTGTATTGATGAATAACATAAAACCACAAGAAAAAGTGATTCCAGACTAGAAAACAGCCATTCACCTAAATGATTAACATTTAAGTACCAGCCAAACTGATCACTTACATCAATCTCTCCTTCATCGATCTCTCCATCATCCTCATCCTTCTTCTTGTCTCTGAAGGAATCCCTGCGCACCCTCTCAGGCCCTTTCGAGTCGTCTGTCCTCTTGAACTCACTGTCTTTAGGAGATGGGGGGAGGATGGGTTTTTTCTCCTTCTTCTTACTGCTCTTAACCTCACTCTCCTCCTCTTCTTCGCCCTCTGCTTTTGCATCTTCCTCATCGTCCTCTTCCTCGTGTGCAGGAATGGTGGGCTCCTCTGGGACTTCCTCATCATAATCCAGTTCATGCTCGTCCAGCTCCCGGGAAACAGACGCAGAGTCATCATTCATCTCCCTCGCTCTCCTCCTCTCCTCAGCTCTCATCCTTTCGTCCTCCTCGGCTTTGACTTTGTCTTCCTCCTCCTCCTCAGCTGTCTCGGGCTCTGCTGAGGCTTCCTTTCGGTAGTCACCGTATCCTTCATCCCTATCTTCCCCATCCTCTTCAGGCATGAAGCTCCTGCCTTGTTCTGGCTCAGAGTCTGGAGACTGTGGGGTGTCAATGACTCTATCCTCTTGCTCCTCCCCATCCAACTGGTCCCCCTGTGGACCATCTTCATCTCCCTCCATCAGCATAATGGTCCCATCTTCGTGTCCCATCCCTTCTGTTTCTTCTACAGGCTCCTCGTCCTCTGGGTCAGAGACAAAGTCAGGGACCACCTCATCCTCTTCTTCCCTCTCCTCTTCTACTTCCGAAGCTCTTCCTCTGCTTTCCACTTCCTCTTCGTCCTCCTCGACCAACGCCCCGTTCTCCTCTTCATGGACTATCTCACTGTCTGAGATGAGCCTGTCTTCTTCTTCATCAGGAGAATCCAGCAGCTCACTGTCAGAAAGGCCCTTCTCCTCCTCTTCAGGGGACTGAGGGGATTGGGTAGGGCTTTCAGGAGTATCCATTGGAGAATATTCTAGTGTGAACAGTAAACAGCAGTCCTTAAGAGACAGTCAACACGTAATATGCTTTAAGAGCCTGAGCTTTGATAGTAAATACACTTTATCATGAATGAACATGCCATACTCCATTCAGGCAGCTGTCAATTAAACATATTTACATATTAACCAGGTTATATAGCAGCTAGAACAGTATTTCAGAACATTAACAAAACAAGTAATGAATGTAGACAAAATATTATGATAAAACCTATTTTTAACACCTGAAAACAACCTTGATGGAAAAATACTGAAGGAATTAATAGACAAACCAACTCAAACTGCTGTTAAGTTAAGGTGCCGATATTCAATACTATTCACACATACTCAGCTTAACCAGTTGAGAAAAGTGGAATTGCACTGCCAGACCTTCAAATGGAGTTTGGCATATGAGAGTCTACATAGTGAAGTACAAAATAAACTTAGTTTCCAGTTTAGTAGGTACACCTAGCTAAAAGTAATGCAGCCCAATGCAACAGTCCTGCTATAAATCAGGTCGATTCAACAGTACGATTATTTTGGAGGCTACAGGTTAAGGTTCTGTTGAACTATATTACATTACAGAGAGAGATGTTTGTGTTATTTAGCCTATCTTTACTGATATAAATGGGATGAACAAAATAATAGTAAAACCTGTCTGAGTGTAACTATAGTACAAAAACAGCACCACAAACTGCCGCATCCAAAACCACCATACAGTGAAATCCATTTTAAACATAAAGTGAACCTTTGTGGAGGGCTCACAGCAGGACTGTGTTATTGGGCTGCAGACTGACTTTAGCTCGGTGCACACAGTAAATACACTGGCCACTGAGTGTACATTCGACTAAACAACACCCAAATACACGACTGCAAAATCTAAGTGTTTGTTTTTGGACCTTGCAAAAGAAAAACTGGCTAGCTTGCTAATAAACTGCCATGACTACAACTTTTGTACTTTACCAACACCTTTACTTAATGAAAGTTAGCTTCCGGCGCTGCTAATTCAAGAGCAAATGAAACATTTAGCTATAGCAAGCTAGCTGCCAATGGTAGGAGGTAAAAATGGTCTCCTGAGGATTCAATGGCATACGTTACCTCTGTGTCTGTACAGAATGAGACAAGTCTGTAAAAACTACACAAGTTCACCTGCAGCGTATGACTGTTAGCACTTCTAATAGCAGGGTCGCGCTAGTTTGCAACTAGGCCCATAACTTGAAAATGCGAAGAGAGCTTGCTAACGGACGGACGCACTGGCGCCACCGGACAGCGAACCTTCCCTAACGAATAAACACAAACGAACCGGTTAGCTTCAAGCCCTAACTGACGGACAGTGGCGTTCAGCATTGAGCGGACAATGTAGCACCGTCGCCTGTCTTTCAATTAACAATGCAGCCTCCCCTGAAGCTAAGCTAACAGCGCAGCTACACTTCGCTAGCTGCTAACAACCACACATTTCCATTCACCTTGCCGACCCGGAGCTCTTTACAGACGGCACAGCGGCGTTAAGACTTGCCCTCTCCCGCTGATATTGATTTCTACAGTCTACAATAAATATGATACGGTTTAATTTAACCGCTATGGAGGAGAAAAAAGAACACTCGGCACGACACAGCGAGAGCGGCCATTACCTCAACGTCATCAAAATACGACAATCTGAGGGGGGAAAAGGCGCCGCTGGGTGCGAATGAGAACAGATCTGAGATCAGTGTGTGGGCCAGATTGTTAACCGCTGTGATTTGGTCAGGAGAGCTAAATCTGACTTGCGTTCAGTGACAGCGGCCCAAAAGAGCATGTCAGGAACAACATTTGAAATCAATAAGAATTTGTGTTATAATATATTATATTACATTACATTACATATATTATATTATATTACATTACATATATTATATTATATTATATTACATTACATTACATATATTATATTATATTACATTACATATATTATATTAAATTACATTACATATATTATATTATATTATATTACATTACATTACATATATTATATTATATTACATTACATATATTATATTATATTACATTACATATATTATATTATATTATATTACATTACATATAATATATTACATTACATTACATTACATATATTATATTATATTATATTACATTATATTATATTATATTACATTACATTACATTACATATATTATATTATATTACATAACATTACATATATTACATTACATTACATTACATATATTATATTATATTATATTACATTACATTATATATATTATATTATATTACATATATTATATTATATTACATTACATTACATTATATATATTATATTATATTACATATATTATATTATATTATATTACATTACATTACATTATATATATTATATTATATTATATTACATTACATTACATTACATTATATATATTATATTATATTATATTATATTACATTACATATATTATATTATATTACATTACATTACATTATATATATTATATTACATTACATATATTATATTATATTATATTACATTACATTACATTACATTATATGTTATATTATATTAAGCTATATTATATTTGACTACATTGGTCTAAATTTCTTCAGCAAATGTCTACTGCTGTTACTTTGTAAAATTCAACAGAAAAACACAATGAAGCCATCATGAACAAACTTAAATAGTTTGCTAATAAGTTGCATCAGACAGTTTTTATTGAGTCTTAATCATCTGACATAAAAAGACTCTCAGTTTTTAGATTTAATTCTTGTCTAGTATCTGCTACAGATACTTGGTTTGTGACTTGGTCACTTGTCACTGCTTCCTGACTTTAGCTTTGGTGGAGTAGCCCTATTAATGTATGACTCACGAATCACCACTCATCCATGTATCATCACAGTGTTATATCACTTAAAACAGTCCTCAACACTAATTAGTGAATGGACTGTTTGCCCAAAATGATTTATTCAGATTACGATTGCCTTTTGTAGAAACAGCCTAAAATGTGATGTGAATGCTGTATTACTTATCTTTTTTCAAATTCTATTGTCATCAGAACAGGAACTACCAGAAATCTCTAGTATGGAGGTCTTGTAGGAAGTACTGGTATGTCAACTATTGTTAGATTTATTATTCTTTAGTTGATTAAAATTGTAGAAATTTTAGCCACGTCTTAGTCAAAGAAAGCCAAAAACGTTTTTGGTCCAGTATTAGTTGTAATTACAGGTTGTATGATTAAGAACGATGGCTAAGATGCAGGGAGAGGGTGTCTGATCCAATATCGAAGAATGTAACTACTCATGTACATTCAGACATAAAACGTGTTTTTTTTAGATTAAAGATACTATTTAATATTTATTTATCTATTTATTACTGTTACAAAGGATACAAAAAAAAAAACAAAACAAAAAAAACACTAAAAACTATACTTGTACTGAATTTCAAGTCCTACTTCTTCTTACCCATAATTGCATTTGTGGCCACAGGCTGAAGATGTCCCAGGCACACAGGAGGCAAATAAATGTTTGTTAAGTAAGGTTAACATGATGATAAAAAATGTAATGTCTTGGCTCACCAGATTGAATGGGCATGACGCCACTGCTCCCAATGCCTCCTCATTGGAGGAGAAATTATTTATTTATCTTCTTTATTGTAAATTGTTGTAATAATAAAAGTAATTATTTGGTTGAACAGCTCCAGACTTCTGAAATGAAACCTATGTATTTGGATTTATAACCCCCCTTTGTATCCCTAATTAACGGCAACTTGTTGAAATGAAACTTAAATAAGTTAAATTAAACTGCCTCCTCTTTATTGCTAATTGTACTACATCTGAAAACCGTATATACAGCAAGAAATACTAATTTGTATTTATCTTGGCTTGTTTTCACATAACCCCAATTTGGTACTGACACAGTAAAAGACAGTTGGCACTGAGGTTACATTATACATTGCTTATTTCCTGTTTATAGCCACTAGATGGCAGCAGTGACCTTACACCAGATAATGACAGCAGTTCTTAGATATAGATATATTAGATATATATGATCATTTATAATATAGTAGGATTAGTATTCATGACAGTGATTTTGTCATATCTTTTCTCCCCAACCTGGATGGAGAAGTGAATGTGACAGAGGTATAATAAAGTAAATTATATTTGCAAGGGGTTCTCACTGTAAATGCTCCTTACACATGGGGAAAAAACCTTGTTCCTGATCTGTTACTTAACTTATCTTCACTGAATGCAGGGAGCATACAAATACTTCCAGGAGTTAAATCTCACATTCATTCCTACAGAAAATCCTCAGATTTTTATCTTGAGGCCACCACAAAGTGAAAATGTGCAAATTAATTGCAGTAATGTTTGTCTCTGTGTGTGTTTGTGTGTGTGCATTTGGATTTTGAGTTCAGTGATGTTTAGTGAGACTGTGTGTTGTGTGTGTGTGTGTGTGTGTGTGCATGCGTGTGTGTGTGTGTCCAGTGGGAGATGTCTCCCTTAAACACATGAGCCCCGACTTGAGTAGCACAGGAGGCTGCCAGAAGAAGAATCATCTAGCTGGAGCATACACAATACATGACTTCCTCTCTCAAATTTCAAAATAAAACTCTCATGATCCAGATGATGCAACTTATTTCATTTTACTCATTATTTTTGCTTCTCTAAATGGAATCTTGCCAATTATGGTATAATCAGATAAATGGTAATATCTACTCAGTGTCGGCTTGAGAAAAACATCCACCCTAAATATTGTAAATAATGTAATAATATAAATTAGGCATGGAAAAATTACAGAATTTGTGTCTTTGTCCTGGGTTTCCCAGTGTAACTTCCATCCAAAATTCAGCCCATCACAGAATTAAGTAATATGACAGAAGACATAACATTGCTTAATTCCATAATAGGTACTGTGCTTTTATTTATAAGGCACAAGTGCTGCTTCCCTCATATGTCTGTGTTAGTCTGATGGAGCTAGGTAAGTAGTGGCAGTGCACTGTGGTCTATAGTATACAGACTACAGCATGGCTATGGTGGAGACCGGCTTTTACTGGCAGGAAACACAAACAGAGGAAAACATTATTTTTTAAAATACAACATTTTATTTTGTGATTTTCTTTATCTTGATACAGGCTGGAAGAGGATTCTGGAGGATGCTGACATGATGCAAAGGTAAATAATTAAATTTTCTCCTGTAAATGAGTGACAATAAGTTTACAATCAATTATGCCTGACTCACTATTGCTGTCATCATTAGCTGAAGCAAAAAAGCATGCCATACTGACAGTATTCATTCATTTACTGTGTAACAGAGATATCGCAGAAACAAAGAGCCAAAAAGAAATACATGATGTGACAGCTGTCTTTTTGATACTCCAATCTGGAAACAAACAAAAATTTGACAGTAGCACAAATATAACATAACACAGAACAAGTAGTTGTATGGGGAACTCAAACATTTGTTTCATATTTTAGCAGTGAAGTCACTTGTTTCATGTAATCATCCACTTTTCCCAATTTGTCAAAAATACAGCTTTTAACCCTCAATAGGTGTAGCTCACTTTTTCAATTGAATATGTTTCCTGAGCAAGCTATTCCTCTTATTCATCTTTTACACCTGTAGGCTATCTGCTAAGCTCCATGCTGTTTCATTGAGTCACATTCATAGTGCTTTACCTGTCACACCTATGCCACCAACGCCAAGCTGTCATTTACTAATATGCCACTGTGCAGGGAAGCGGTTGTAGGTTCGGTGCCCATTCTCTTCCAGCCTGTCTGCTGACCTCAAGTTTGCTACCTTTAATAAGAATTAATCACATATGTGCTATCACTGTATTCCAAGAGGAGAGACTGGATTAGCTCAGGCAGGAAATAGAGAAGCCTATTAATCGCATTATTTATTATGGCAAATCTGTAACTTTTATAAAAATAACTTTTTGTCATTATTTCTGAAATTTTCACTGTGTTCTGACAGTAGTAGACGAGACAGATAATCTGTGAAACAATCAGGTTCCTCTGGCTTCTCCTAGTGCTCCTAATGGCGTTCGCATGAATCCACTGGGCCTGAACAAAAACAACCAATCAGAGCCAAGAAAGACATAGTTGACTGTTGAGTCTCATTCCCAGATTGTCAAATACAGACACTTTGGGGACTCTTAAAATGAGACAATAGACAGCAGAGCAGAGGGATCATAGACTTGGTGGGTGTCATTAGGGGTTGGTGGTCCATAGCTTAGCCAAAGAAAGCCCAAATATAATTATGTGGGTTTTAAGGAGCATATTTTAGCAGAATGTACAGAGAAGCCACATCTAACAAGAATCCAAAAACAGTGTATCAAGGATGTATGACAGGTAGTCAGTTATTGCTTTATTTTACAAATATGTTGTTTCTCTCTTAATGTAAGCAAGTCAGACTTCATTTCCACCCATTATCAACACCCATAACGTGTGTTTTAAAGTGCTGGTTTAGAATTGAGTTAGATATGTTGTGTAATCTTAAACAACAATAAGTGGGTTCAAGTAGGCTACCAGTGTTGCAACCTATGGAGCCCCTAAAGTCCCAAAAGGTGTTATTTTGTAACTTAATTAATTATCCATACAACACATAGTTAAAATCCTGAAATGCAATTTTTTAAAATCTTTTAAAGAAACAACCAGTGTGTAAGATTTAGTTGCAAAGTGGTGTAGTTGCAGATTGCAACTTCCTTGCTTCACCCCACTTCAAAAAGGAGAAGGAGAAAGGAGAAACTATAGTGGCTGCAAAATGTGTAAAACCTGCAAATGCCTCTATATAGCCAGTGTTTGGTTTGTCCGTTCTGGGCTACTGTAGAGCCTCCTAAACGTTACACTAATTCACAAACCAAGACTTCGAGACCATCCAGTCAGAAATCAGTGTTTCTTCTTGTTCCTACAGTGTGATGTTTGAATGCTGTCTGTGCAGAGTTTGACTCTAGAAGGATGTTTTCACATTCATCTGTTGAAAGTGGAAAGTTTCTCTGTGCTCATTGAAAATCTGATTTTAAGGGGCGGGGCCTACCAGCATGATTTGTGACATCACAAATAGTTTGGAAGTCAGTCCTGGTCCAGTATCAACTTGTACAGTGTGATGTAGAAACTTGAAGCCACCAGTGCACATCCACTGAGAATGGACTTTACAGTGAAGTAAAGAGGCATCTTGTGTCCACAGCAAAACTTTAGAAATCAACAACGTTTGCATATTCAGAGATTCTGGAAGTTTTAATGAGGTAGAAGGAGGAGATGTTTTTTTAAGGATTTTAATGTATTTTTGTTTGTTTTTGCAGAAAAAACATACCAGAAAATCCATTAGTATGTAATTTTATAAGGAGTACGTTTTAGAGCTGCACTATTTGAAAGTGTCCTGAGATACCTTCTGTTATGGTTTGGTGCTATACAAATGAAACTGAATTGATTATGTTAGATCTAAAATGAATGCATCGCATCTTCCCCTTTATTCATTTCTCATGTTAAAAAGGTTTTCATCTGTGCATGTAAACTGCAGTACAACGGGAAGCCCTCCCATTGGCGTTCCTCAAGGCACCTCACTCAGCCAAGCATGATGGATAGTCAGAAATGTGCAGAACACCAGCTCCACCGAGTTGTGGTTGTGTGACAGACTGGAGGGTGGATGCAGTCTGACTGATGGCAGAATAGTAAAACTAAATTACTTTTCATTTCATGTCCACCTCAATTTATTAGAGGCAGCCCTCAGGAGGCGAGGTCCAGCGTGTGGGCTGGGAGATGAGTAAAAAGAGCAACAGATGCCTCGTACTGTTTCACAGTGCTGCATGCTGGTTAATTAGGTTCCAGCAGAATGTGAAACCTCAAAACAAACCCCAGGAATCTTTGAGAGAAAAAGTGGTTCACACTGTCCTAACCTTAAACCCTTTTAAGCAGCAACAGCTTAGTAAATGGCTTTAATCAGAAACTCTTCTGCTGCACAGGACTGTAGGAATGTGGCTGTAAATTTACCAGAATTGCACTAGGAGGCATCATAAGTGCAGTGTGAGAGAAAAATAAACTATGCTCATATATGTTTCTTGTCAGAATATTACATTAAAATGATCCTAATGCACTCATTGAGTGTGTTTACGCCTTGAGTACAGTACTATGGTTTATACTCAGCAGCAGCATAATGGCTCATTTGAATATTCCCTGTTAATGGATAACCACACTGGATCTTATTAAAGCCTCACCAGGCACGGTTTCAGCTCTGGCTCTCAATGTTCCCCTGTAGGTCTGTGGACATTTTCAATGGGGGCCTCCTGAAATTTTTTTGTCTGCAATATTTAAGGCTGCACAGTGCAATGGACCCTTCCTTAGTCCCACCCTATTTGGAAAATTGGTTAACTTCCACCTTTCCTGTACTTAGATATGCTATGTGCTAGGCTTGTCTGTGTTGGAAAGACAACTACATTTTAAAAATGGTTAAAGCTTCAGTATGTAACTTTTATAAAAAATAACTTTTTGCTAGTCTTTCCCTTACATTATTTCTAAAATGACATGCTATCTATCTCAGTGCCATTTGAAACCATCAGCTGGCATTGCCCTTTCATTTTCCCCCTTTAGTTTTAACCATTACCTGATTGCATGAGCAGTGATGCTTCTGAGCAGCACTGATCCAGTGTAAGTGCAGATACCTGGGGGAGCCACAGAGAGGAATTCTGTGTATGTGTTAATGTGTGTTTGACATTGATGTATAAAAGTACAAAGCCAAACCAAAGGTTGTTGTCAATTCAATTCCCTCTTTGTCCAATTAATTGAACTCATTTTCTATTTCTAGGTGACTCAAAGGGGGCTTGAGTGGTGTTCGGAAGTCCTGGGATAATTATATTCACACAAAAAAATTCACTCTTCTGCATTAGTTAAATCGAAGACGGTAAGGACGGCGAAGGTGAAAGACAGGAGCAAATTTCAAAGGACAGTGCTTATTTCCCCTTCTCATGATGAGATGTTAAAGCTTCAAAACAGTAAATATCATATGCTACTTATAACTGGACTGGCTTTAAATGAGAGGTAATGCTCTAAATGAAAAGGAAAAAACATGGCGACATTTCAGATTCCTGCCCCTCATCTCTTAGCTTTAATCAAATGAACGCTACTTTTGATTAACAAACTCTTTGGGAATAAAAAAGGTTGTTGCCAGTTGTTGGCAGACATGAATGACAACGTGAGCTCCAGAATCGACACCCCAACCAACATCTCTCTGACTCCCAGCGCCGCTGTCTCCGAGTCGCTGGAGTACAAGACGGTGTCTGTGTTCCTGGTCCTGCTGGTGTGTGGCGTGGGCATCGTGGGCAACATCATGGTGGTCCTTGTGGTCCTCACCACACGCCACATGAGGACACCCACCAACTGCTACCTGGTCAGCCTGGCCATAGCTGACCTGACGGTGCTGGTGGCGGCCGGGCTTCCCAACGTGTCAGACAGTCTGACAGGCACGTGGGTTTTTGGCCATGCTGGCTGCCTGGGCATCACCTACCTTCAGTATCTGGGCATCAACGTGTCCTCTTGCTCCATCACCGCCTTCACTGTGGAGAGGTAAGGATGGACAAACAACCACCTGCAGCTGTTCTCATTACAGCTTTAACTGGTGTCAGTTTTACTTTAACTGGACAATGCTTTGACTTTTAATTTGCATATGTTACAGAAGTGTTTTACCTTACCCTCTTCATCATGAACAAGGTGAGGGAGTCAGTTATCCCCTTTCCACCAAACCCAGTGCTAGTGCTGGACTGGTGCTAGTGTCGGTTCAGGGTTGGTTCAACTTAGAGATTTGATTCTCTGCCTGAACCCAATTGGACCAGACACGACCCAGCAGGTTCGAACCAGAACAACTGCCATAGGTCGGGCTTGTGTCGGGCTCAGACAGAATTAAATTTAAAAATATATAGATATTTTATTAATAATGCATGCAACTGTAATTAATGAGTGAATTTGTTATTTATTAGTTTTAGTAATAATTTACACAAAATTATGCACCATGTGGTTTTCTTTAGCTTGTAATAAATTATTTAAATTATATATTTATTTTAAGTGAAGATTTGGGTTCAGGCCGGGCTTGGGCCCAGAACTGCTTCTGCAGTTTGGGCTTGGTTTGGGTGATGAGTTAATGAGTTAATGCATTTAATGTGAATTTGGATCACTTTTTCTAAATAGGTTATGAAGTAGTGAAACAAAATGAAATATTTCTCAACAAGCTTTATTTTGAAAGGCTAACTGGACATTCCATATTAATTGTTGCTAACTTGACTGCTGAGCCCTGTACAAACAAACCTGATAAGAGGATACCCACAGCATCATATTTTAAAAGGTAGGGCCACTGACCAAGCTGCAGTATTTAAAATCAAATGCTGTAGTGTTTTAAATTTCTGAATGTGTTTTTAACACCTTCCAGGCAGTCACTGATTAAATAAACTCCATATCTAGACTGTTAATGCCCCATTTCCTCTTTGCATGCAGGTACATAGCTATCTGCCATCCAATGAAGGCTCAGACAGTGTGCACAGTGTCCCGGGCCAAGCGGATCATTGCTGGGGTTTGGATCTTCACCTGCGTCTACTGCATGCTGTGGTTTTTCCTGCTGGACATTCAGGTTAGAGAAATACATTTTCAGTGTGTTTACTGGCTGAGGGCTGCAGCAGTTCCACTACTGATTCAAAAAGAAGGCATGGGATAAGTGTTTGTATACTGCAGCCACAATCCTAGAATAATTCTAGGTTATACTCAAAAACAAAGACAATAGTAGTTTCAGTGAGTACATGAGTCATGAACATTTGTGATTAACAAGACAAATGCTGATTGAACTGCAGATGAATGTGAAAAGCTTTTTAAGAGCACGCTGCCTTTTCTGAGAGTAGTATTATTATGTTGAGATGTTACGTGCATCTGAGCCCATAGCCAGCCTGTGAGCTCTGTAATAACTGTGTGGCATTCAGGTCAGCCAGGATGGACATGTCCAGTGTGGCTACAAAGTGAAACGGGAGCTCTACCTGCCCATCTACCTCATCGACTTCGCCATTTTCTATGTCATCCCGCTGCTCCTCGCCATCGTGCTGTATGGCCTAATAGCACGGATCCTCTACCTCAGGTACTATAAAAGCTCTTTCAGAATATATTTATAAATCAGCTTAAGTCCAGATGACATGAAAAATGCCCTTTTAACCCTTTACATCCCCAGTCACACTGCACCCATATTTAACAATGTATGCCAATCCAATCATTTGTCCTGATGTAAAACAAAATGTGATGATGCTTATGAAAGGATGAACCAACTACTTTCAACTAATAATTTCAACCACCCATTAACTTCAACTTTTAGCGATACATAAGATTTATTAATTAGCTAGCTACCAACAGCATGGCTCTCTTTCTGGGGGCGTTCCTCACTCATAACTGTACAAAAACACAGTGGCCTCCGTCCAGAGGACAGCCTTATCCAGGTGATTTATCGAGTTTTCAGATGGACTTTAGCTTAAATTAGCTTACTGCCGCTAATGGTAATGTTAATAATCTTTTGTTATGACTTTGGGCTATACAAATAAAATTAGTACATTTCTAAAATTGAAAGTAGTTCTGATCAAGCAATCTGACTGGTCAACTTAAGTAATCAAAACAGCATGACAGCACACCACACTAAAAATATTACTCTGCCATTTCCATGGCAACATTGTAACCTGAGCTGGAGCAAGACCCTGTAACAAACTGGAAGTATGGAGTTTGCAAGACATGGGCATTTACCAGGCAGGGGGTCAAATAAGATCCAGTGGTGTTGGAGATTGACCAATAACTGTCACTCTGCTGCTTTGGCTTGACCATTCTTTCTTTCTTTAAATCTAAAACCTTTAAAAAATATCTAAGCTTTTCAAATAAGCTTTTGTGAGTCTCCTAACTTAATGAAGTTGCAATATTAAACTGCTGGAGAGTGGGGTACCCCTTTAAGATTGATTCACCAGCCAATATGAAGGCTGTCTTTAGATACATTAATGACATTTACAAACTGACATCTGACATCTAAATTGCACTAATACAACAGCTCTTGTAGCAATGGTATATTAGCAATGTGTCAAACTGCAAAAAGTGTAATGTGAAAGGGGTGTTGTGTTTGCAGCTTGTTTCTGTTGCAACTAGAGGCAACAACAACAGTTCATTCCCTGTTTTAAAGCTATTTTATCTTCACAAAGTAATGAAGCTGTGAATCTCCTTATTAGTGTAATTTTGTCATGTCTTGCAATATTAAGATTACTGATTGGCAAGGCAGGAAAACACATTCATGCTCAGCTTACATCACACGTTGGGGCCCATATTAGAAGCCTTCATTTATTTATTTTCATTGGCTCAGGCTAAAATCCAAAACCAAATTAGTAATAATTTTGTGCTGTTTGATTGATTTTCCACCCTGAGAGAATTAAATTCCAGGGGGAAAAACAATGAAGGCCTGTAAATCTCCTGATAAACAAAGGTGAAGTTCAAATATATTCAATACTGACATAGAATATTAAAGGACCAGTGTGTAGAATTTAATAGCACCTAACGGTGAAGGTGCAGTTTGCAGCCAACTAGGGTACTGTAGAAACATGGTGGTTCAATATTGGGGACTCCATGGAAGATGACCAGTGTTGTCTGTAGACAAAAACAGCTCATTCTAAGGTAACAAAAACAATTCTTATATTCAGGTGATTATACACTAATGAAAATATACCTATGAATATTATATTCCATTTCTGCCAATAGTTCCTCATAAATGTTACACACTGAACCTTAAATGGCTGTTTTAATTCACAAACCAATATCAGCTGAGCCTTTTTGCAGGACTTTGAGACCCGTAAAGAAACCCTGCAGCACTGTTAAACCCAACCACCTTAATTTACTCTAGAAACCAAACCAAGCAAAGCCTGCTATTCTGATGTGGTGTGAATGCTCTAACATGCTTGCTTGCATACCTCCAGCCCTCTGCCCAACCATCCCGACACCAGCGCCACCACGCTGCGGCGGAGCTGCCGGGAAGCCTCTGTAGCAGGGAAGGGGGGTCGCCAGGGCCGGCCAAAGAGCGCGCTCTCCTCCAGGAAACAGGTCTGTGCCTCACGCCACACTTGCCCCCTTTCCCATTAACCCCTTCTGCACTCTCTTTTCTTGTTGTTACATCACGTCTTATCTATCAAGTAATTGCTGAGCGATAGCTTTAGTCACATTTGACCCTGTTCTCGTCTCTGGCTGTGTGTGTGATCTGCTGGAAATATAGAGGCCATGATTCCCCTCTTAACAGCGTGGTGATGATGTCCCCGCTATCCGTTGCCTCAGAGAAGTGCCCTCTTGACGGCTCTCTGTCCTGGCTGTTACGCGGCCCTGAAGGCAATCCTGGCGATAATGGCTTCTTTTCCTCAGGCTGAGCAGTCAGAGAGCTTTCTTACCCAGAAAGCCCTCTCTCTCCAAGATTACATGGTATCGCTCTGCAGTGCTGCTTTGTCTCTTGGATGTAGAATACATGCTCTTAGGCTTTTTGGTCTTGAAAACATCTACCTTCAGGAGCTTTATACACCAAGGAGGGATATACGGCAAAGTCCAGAAGTGACTAGATTCATGTCCACATTTTGTTCATTCAAAAATTGTATAGCTGTTTAGAAAGTATAGAGATTTCTGTCCTCTACAATAGCAATACAAGTTTCTGTCTCTGGGTTTTTTATTACATTTGTGTGTCCCTGTGTATATCTGACTGCAGCCAATCTCACATACTACTGGAGCAATCAGACTCATATTTTTGTGCACATTCATGACTGTATGCTCAAAAACCTCTTGTGGTTGCAGTGACTCACAATCTACAAAACCAATTTTTTTGACTGCTCTGCTTTATACTGCCTGTTGTTTTATACCGCTAAGTGATCAACAACCTCTGGCTAAAAACAAGGCATAGCTTGTCTGTTGCAGGCCACATTTTGGCCTTTGTCATCTTAAACTGGAGCATCTGCAGATGGATTCCACACATATGTAATGATCCATGATACAAGAGTAATCCCTGTGTTTATTACAGTTGCCGCCATCTTTGACGTTAAAGGTGCATGCTGGGATTTACTGTTCCGGAGTGTGTAACATCATGACTTTATAAAGAAGTTATATTCTGGACATTAAACCTGTTTCTGTTATAAATGAAACCCTTTGAAGCTGTTATTGTTTGTTTGTATTGATTATTACATTTACAAGAAGGTAAAAGCTAAATATCCATGTGGACTAAATAGTCCACATGGATGCCGGTGTAATGATGTTTCAGAGCTGAAGCGAAAACCATCATATCAACCTGACCCTGGACTGATGAGAGGCAGTGCATAGTAAACCCAAACCCCAGGCTGCAAAGCATTCCTTCTGTAATCCATGGCTTCCTTTATGTTTTTTTTCTGTGCTAAAACTGGAAGAGGCTGATAAAATGTGGTGTGTTCTTTGCAGACAAGACAGGCCTTTAGCTGATTCACACACAGTAGGTGTATCCGTTAGCAGAACTCCTTCCCCTTGTAGAACAGCGCCGCTGACACAGCCAGTGTCCAATTATAGAGGCTAAACATCGAGGGGAGTGAGCTCCAGTGGTACCTCTGCTTTGACGCTGCACAGCAACACGTCTTGGCATCCGTTTTATACATTTTGATATCTGACCATTTCCTCTTAATTTCCTCTCTGAGCTGGGAGAGTTCACTAACATGCTGTCACTCAACCACGTGACAGTGCGACCATTTAACCATGAAACATGTCTGACATTTCTGTTACAGTCATAATATGCATGCTTAGTCTCTGGCCTCACAACACATTTCATTGCAGATAAAATTAATTTTACATAGGAATAGAATATTTGAACTTTTATCATATTTTTTGGAAGTTGGAACAACAAGGGAAGTAAAAGTGGTTGCTTTTATTGATTGTTATTTATAGTGATCCAAATTTGACCATTGATTGGCGAAGAAGGCTTTTTTATTTAAAAAAATACTCAGGCGATACTCTTTGGGATCTATGGTCTAATGCGTGGTCTAATCTATTCTGGGGGCCCTTGACATTTATAAAGTTTGGGAACCCCTGTACTAGAGCAATAGAGGACTTGGTACACATGGTTTCACACTGTTCCACTGATGCAACGTTGGTGGTTATGCACCAAGGAGAGTCACAACACACCAGCAAAGGCCAGGAAGAAAGATTTGCAAGTTTCAAAATCTTTTTAAAAACTGGCTTTGCAAATCTTTTATGAGGACTGAAATGCCTTCAACAAGTTTATTAGATCTCAAGGATACACACAATCTGTTTTGGTGAGAAACACTGTTGTCGAGATATTCTTTAGGTTCTTAATAAAACGGAATCACCGTATGAATACAAGCACTGAACAAAAAGGATGTGTATCCAGAAAGATCCAGCGGTATATAAGTTTATGGATCTGCATCCAGATCTGAATATCATATAATTATAAAAGATCCAGGCTGTAATCCTCTGTATACAGTCTGCACCTTTGACAAATACAAACATATCCCCACCTTTGATAGTACCATGTTTTTGTGCATGAACGTTTTTGTTATTGTGTGGTGCGTGCGGATCATAGTTATTTGTAGTACGTAAGGATTGTCCCACACTGTTCATATAAACCGTTTAATTTGCCTATACACTCTGACTGCTGCTGTCACATTTTTAAGTAATAATTCCCTAAATCTCAGTGTGGAGTTGCATTAAAGAGATCGACAAGACAGATGCGCGCTGTGTTTTACTCTGAAGAACAACGACTGGGTTAGGGAACAGAGCCTGATTTAAAAGTGGTGCTTTCGCCTCCATTGAGTGAAATCCTGTAGGCTGTAGCTTCGAGCATTTTCAGTAGTGTAATGTGGAAACTGGGCATGTATGTCGTCGTAGAAATAAATCATAAGATTGTGATGTTTATTTCAACTTTGGAAATGTCTGCTGGCTTGCCCTCAACAGCCAGCTCCGCAGCTCACACTTGTGATATGTGGGTGGGACACTAAGTAAAACTACAAAGTGTACTATTAATATACTGAATAGTGTATAATAATCTATTAAATTATAGTATACTATGATATATATAGTAAGTGAGAACCATCTCACACAGCAACTTGACCTGCACATCATTTGGACACAATGTCGCCCTTAATAACTGGTTCTAACTGGTTACTGCATACATACACGCTTTGCTATCTATATAGCTCAAGGTGAAAAATGATAACAGTATCTGTTCCATGTTCTCTCACATCAATGCACACAATGTGTAAGGTTCTACTGTGGACTGTAAGCTGCTAGTGCTTTTTAAAGAACTGTTACAATAGTAACTTTTAAGCTGCTATGTCACAATTTATCCCCAACACCACACGGCACCTTTAATTATTATTCATTTAGTTGATATTCTGTTTATTTGAATAGCAACAAATCATATCCGTTATCTCAGGAAACGTTTCATATAGAGCAGGTCTAGACTGTACTCTATTAAATTATTTACAAAGGCCCAACAATTCCCCATGTAATTAAATTAATTCCTACAAGTAACCAGTATAAGGGTACATTTATCTTGTTTATAACAAACCAAATTTCATTAAAAAACCTGTTCAGTTCATTAAGCTGGTTACAGTCAATTTGTTGTGCAGTCTTCATTTCTCAGTATTGTTAACTGCTGGATCTTGACTGCTGGATATAGTGACCATGCAGACATATAGCAGTGATACAGCAGTTTCTATATCTATAGAGCAGACCCTGGCTCTAGGTGACAACCAGGCACATCTTAAGTTAACTAGCTAATTTTAGGAAAATGCTAGTTAACTATGTAGCTAATTTGCCTAAATCGTTAGCGAGCTGTCTAGTTGGCTAGCATTTTGATACAGAGAAAAAGACTCCTCAGCTAATCTACATTAATGGTTAGCTAGCTAGTTACATCTGATAGCTAACATTAGCAAAAGTCTAGTTCAGGGGTGCCCAAACGTTTCCCCCTGGGGGTCAAGGCTCAAACTTAATGTTAAGCCACGGGCCAAAAGTTCCCAAAACTGCCTGACGTCTGACCCCTGTGCTCACATCATGAAAAAGGATTTCACGTATTTAAAAAAGATTTTTACCTCACATAAAAATAAATCGGCATTTAATGGAACAGTGATTTATAGTATATTCTTTAGAGATTCATTTTCATTTATTTTATTTTATTTGCTAGAAACATCTGGCAGGGCAAGTCAAACCTTATGACGGAGCAACTTTGGCTCGCCGGCCCCACTTTAGGCATCCCTCAATTAGATAACGATTAATACATTTGCTAACATTAGCTAACTTAAGCTGTGACTATATATGTTGCTTTTATTTTTCAACCATCTTCAAAATTTGGTTTTCTTTTCAACAGAGACGAGCCTAGCACAGAGTATAACTTAGTATAGGAATGGAGGAAGTGGACCGAGGTTCCAAAAGGGGCAGGGCTTAGGAAGAGTCTGTAACTTACCTGCTTTTAAGCAGGGGTGTGCCCATATTAACCAGGACTGAGATATTTAGGATAATTAAGCAGCAGATAGCATAATTAATTGATGTTTTTGGCCACTTGGGGCTGTAAATTTACAACAATGGCATATTATCACCTTATCAATTTGTTGATATTTTGTTGTTGTGAACTTCTTAGTGACTAGTTGTCATAGTTCTTGTACTTTTCATATTGTTCAAAGTCACAGATTAAACAATAACCCTTTAATTTGATGGATCTTTCCCATGCAACCTTTAGCATAGGTTGTTCACTGTGTAGACGTTTCTGCATGAATACAGGCCTGGAGAAACTGAACTCTCATACAAGAGCGGAGGGAAGATCCTAATCTCATGTGTTCAAGGGGCTCCATCTAGGAGCAGAAGATTTGCATAATGTGATTTGGGATTTACATTGAAGTGTGCTTAATACCGCAGATGATTTTACCCTCTCCGTTCTTCAGTAGGCACTCCATGCTCTTTCATTCATCGTTTGATAGGCCAACTCAATCTGATAGGAGTTTGATAAACTTGTGTATGTCAAAGAATGGCACTTTTATGGTTGGAGATTAATACAGTGTGCTGTGAGATTGCCGCACAATTTTAATCTCTGAGAGTTTCTTCATGTCTGTGATCTCCTCAAGTGCATGTAGAGGAAGCGAGATGGGGAAGCTTGGTCATTGTTGCCCCGGGCAAATCGATAGCATCAGAGGCTAAAGCAAATTCTTTGGTTCAGTGGGCCGAAATGTCTGTCCATGACTGGATTCAGTCTAGGAGGATGCTGTTGTTAAGGGAAAAAAGTCGGATGTGTTTGTAATGCCGGAGTCAAGTATCCTGCCGCCATATAATTACAGTTATAATATGCATATTCAAAATGTCACCCCAATGCTTTCTGTGTCATTATCGCAGCGCAAGGATAATTAGAAAGCTGTCCTCCCCGCCTCCACCGTGTTCAATTAAACGCTTTGTTGTGCAGAGTTTTTTCATTTTTTATCCACCTGCTGAGGTGGCTGTCACTGGCTCACTGCTTAAGGCACGGACACAGACGCTTATCTCAAATAGCATTTTGCTGAGAGGAGGCATGTGCATGATACCTGCTATCAAGCTGCCACAATTTTTTTTCTGCTGCAGCAAAAAAACGGCGGCCACACTAAAGCAGAATTGTGACGGCATGGTGAAGGCTGGCTGGGAACTTTAAAATGGTCGCAGATGGATGGGTGGTGGGGTGAGGCTGGGAGGGGGAAGGTGTGTAGCATTACTGGCGACTGATAAGACTAATCACTGGAGTCTTACAGGCTGACCAGCTCTACTCCCCCTCTCTGTCTCGCAGGGGTTCAGAGATGTCTGAGGCGTTGCCATGGTCACCAGCCAGTGGTGGGGTGGGGTGGTGTGGAGGGTCAAGGCATGCTGAGGGTGTTGTACACACAAAGAAACACATGCTGCATACACACACACACACACACACACACACACACCTTTCTGAATCACTGCAGAAGTGGAATGTCTTTACTGTCCATTTAGTAGCCATAGCTTCTTGTTGTTTATAATTTGTGTTTGTACTACACTATTGGCCTGAAGACAACCTTGATTGTGTGATTATAATCCCCCCTCCCTTTTCCCAACTCCTTTAGTCCCTGTTGGGAGAGGTTCCACAAGACAGTACTAGTCTAAGGAGAAGATATTCCTCATCCATAATGCCTTCCTCATGTATGTTTTTGTATTGTATTGTATATACAAATATCTACCGCTGTGTATACTCACACACTTCTGGAAGCCTTAAATAAGATGTAGTAGCCTTGACAATAAAAAAAATCTAAATTGTACAGTAATTAGCATAATCATTTTATCTTTTTATTTGAATTTTTATGTCATAATTTCAGCTTATTTTTTATTTATTTTACTGGCAGAAATGGGCTTCCACACACTCTCCTGTCAGACTCTTGAAATTAGAATGTTTTTCTCTGGCTGCCACAACAAAGTATATGTTGACAGTTCTCTCTCTCTCTCTCTCTCTCTCTCTCTCTCTCTCTCTCTCACCCCAACTGGTCGAGACAGACGACCACCCACCTAGAGCTGAAGGATCAGTCCTAGGTTTCTGCCTTTTAACAGGCAGTTTTTCCTTGCCCTTGTCGCCAAGGTCTTGCTCATGGTGGTACTGTTGGGTCTCTGTAATTAATGTTTTAAGGAGTTCGGTCTAGACCTGCTCTATTTGAAAAGTGTCCTGAGATAACTTCTGTTATGAATTGGCGCTATACAAATAAAATTGAATTATTGTGCAGGACATGAATCGTCTATTGGGACGTTCCTTTTTTTGGAGGTCCTGTATAGTCCCTGGTCTGTTCTGCTGTAAAAATGTCAGAAGATGCAGCTTACACCAGATTGCAACTCCCTTGCTTCACCCTCCCCTTCCTCCCTGTAGGAGAAACTACTGTGGCCGCAAAAAACCTGAAATGCCCTATAGAGAGCCAGTGTCTGGTTTGTCTGTCCTTAATTTGCGACATTGTCAATTTGGTTAAATCCATGCAACAAGCATGTAGAGGTGTGCATGTGTTTATTGAGACTGGGATTTCTACATGACTGTGAGTCCATTTGTTTGTATTGAACATATTCTGAACTTGCCCCTGACAAATACCCCCCCATATTATAATAAAAAAAACTAAAACACTGAAACTACTAAAAATGAGAAGCTACTTTCTGAAATCACAGACCTATGAAAAAAAAAAATTTAAGTGGTAAATCCACCACAGTTTGATTTTAAACTGCATATATGCAGTTTGAGAACAGAAGGGCTGATAGGCATAACAACAATAATCAAGTATTATGATTTTTGTGTTTTTATTTCATGCCTGTTTACTACTTTGCTCAATAATTTGCTTAATTTCCCCCATAATTTCATTTTCTTTTTCTTTTCTTGCCGTACTTGCCCTTGCTTCTTCTTTGTCCTCTCACTCTTCAAATGACTCATTTAGCTAAGAGGCCTCAGTTAACCTCCTCTTAACATGCACTGAGAGACACACAAAACATATTAATTATTGGTGTCAAACACTCTCACACGCACTCTCGCTCTCTCTCTCTCTTTCTGCTAATGCATCATCCGACATGTTGATGATGACTCAAATAATCCTGAAGCAATCATAGCTAAATTATAACGATGCATCAGCCCATATTGCACTGGGCCTCGGAGCTTTGGCACAAATGTTTATCTACTTGTGCTTTTCTGCCCATTGTTTTGATTATGGTGGAAGAATTTTAATGTGATTTTCCTCTGTCATACACATCTCAACTTACCTGGCTCTTTGTGGTATGCTAGATGAAAACGACTCATCAAAATTACTGCTCAAAAAACACATTCTTACACCCAACTCATCCAACACTACAGCTTGGTCAGTGGCCCTCCGCTTCAAAATATGATGCTGTAGTTATCCCTCTAGTGTTTTCGGATGCACAGAGCACCACAGTCAAGTTAGCAATAATAACATGCGATGTCCAGTTAGTTCTGCAAAAGAAAGCTTGCATGGTTAACGTTGCGAAGTGGTTGCACTGTGGTAAGGTTCACAAACAAGAACTATAAAAACAGCTTGGTTAGGTTTAGGAAAAGTTCATAACCTTACATACCTCAAGTACCTTAATATGTCACATCAGTTAACTCACATCAGTTACTTAAAAGAAATTGTTTCCTTTTGGTTTCACACAGGACATGAACAGCAATCCCCTGGGTTAAAGTCCTGTGTTTGATTGAGCCATCCATCCACCCACCACCTCCATATGTGGACTTTCTCACTCTTTACACTACGTCACCTGATGACAAGTGAAGTGGAGGGCTGAGTATTTGACAACTTGGAAGTGGGGCCAGGTTGGCTCAAATCCCCTATGTGTGCAATTTGAAAGTTTGTGATTATGGTGACTCTTAAGCTGTAGTACCAAAACAACACAGTGGCAAACGGACACTGAGAATTGAAGACCAAGGGCAATATATGTATGGGATAATGCCCGATGAGGTGTCCATTATCAGGAACTGATGGACGATGTGGAGACCAGAACCATCCGACGTGCAGCCAATTCCAATTCTTTCTTTTTCTTTTTTGCCATAACTCTCTGAAGTTTCCCGGGTAACACCTTAGGGTTTGACTAATACTTGGAACAATCAATACCATTCCAGGTTCTTCTGCAATGGAAACTAAACTAAAGTAAATAGGACAAAATCTTAGATATCACATGGCAATGGGAGATGTTTCTAGTTCCCTTCACTCATAGAGCGCACTGGCTCAGCTACGAGCCAGAGAGCTACTGTTAACGTTATGCTAGCAAGATGTTTTTACTTACTTATTTGCTTATTTCATGTGTCTTTGAGTGATTTGAGGCAAAAATCCACAACACCATCCTGTGGCGTTCAGAGGATGAGGCACTGAAGGACTACACTCAGTGTTGTGAGATATTTTTATGAGATATTCAGATTTTGTTTTTATTCAATTTATATTAGCACACTCAATGAGAACGGCACTGGAACCACCTAGTAGTTGTCCTACATCAATAACTAATGGACCGCCTGTACCCTTTAATCAGAATCGAGTATTTACTCCGGACCATGGTATAATCCGGCGATCGGTTTGTGTATTCTGCCATCTAGTGGCGCTGCCATTACTACTTACTCTGTGACAGCAGCATGGGTAGTTTGTCTGATGACATTAGACAGTGGCCCCCAGCTTTACATGGATGGTGATCTTAATGTCACATTTTTCATATTAGTGAGACCTTTGTCATAACAACAGCCAAAAAGTACAGCGTGCATCCACCACAGTAAGGGCAACTTGTTTACTTCCAGTATTTCCCCGGATTTGTGTAGAAGCAAATGTATGTTTTGTATTGCACCATTAATTAAGAAGTTTAAATTGATATCCACACAAAATAAATGGTAGCCAGATTACTAGTTGTAGTTAAATGAAGGTACTGTGGTGGCTTCTGATGACCCCTTAAAAAAACATGCCATCACCCCTTTTAGATTTCCACCTATTTCTGTTTGTGAGACAGATTTGTCAGTTCAGATGGTTTTGCGTAAATGAAGTGGACTATATTAGTTATCTGTGTTATCGGCTAAGTTTATTAGACTCTTCACATTGCCAGTCAGTATTAAGGCCTGAATATACTGCAGACATAACAGTTGCGTTGTAGTTCTGTTTATACTTTTTTATGGAGTCCAATTGGAGGACGAGTTCCCCACAGAAACATCAGTCACACCAAATTGACGGAATGTTGATGTCCACACAGAGTTCAACAGAGTACACCCTCTGATGACGAAATGTACCTCTCTTTAAAGTATAATTCCTGCTTTAGAGGTTACAAGGTCATGTTATTAGGGTTTTCATGTACATTGTTATCTACGGTAGATTTATGAACAACTACATAAAAGTTTTAATCTAAACTACGGTAGAACTTTCAGCTTTCATCAGGGGCCAGTATCTTTCAGATTTGACCAACAGGTTGCTATTTACCTACCACTACGACTTTAACAATTCTAATCATAGTTATTTTTAATGGAGTTTTAATAGACTGTATCTCTGTTTCTTCTCCACAGGTGACAAAGATGCTAGCAGTAGTGGTGATCCTATTCGCTCTACTGTGGATGCCCTACCGGACTTTAGTTTTGATCAACTCTTTTGTGTCGACACCCTATCTGGATGCTTGGTTCCTCCTGTTTTGTCGGACGTGCATCTATGCCAACAGCGCTATAAACCCTGTGATATACAATGCCATGTCTCAGAAGTTTCGCTCTGCATTTCGTGGCCTTTACCGTTGCCAGCGGCCAGAGGGAAACCAGAGGCTGTCCATGATCCAAACCGGCTTCAGCACCGTCCGAGACATCCGAACATCCCAGGCCAACAGCAATGGAACGGATGAAAAAGCTAGCAGGGTCATCCTTAGTACTGATATGACTACAAAGCAGAATGGAAGTGGTCATCAGGAGACAGCAGCAGTCAATGGCAAGAAAGCAGACCACCCCCTCAACATCAGTCCGCCTACTTTTAGCTTTGGTGTTGGTCCAGCTGGTGATGAGAAGTCGGATTGGCCTTCATCAACTAATACCACAGTTAATTTTGACAGTCACACAACAAACGATCAGCAGGAAAACGTGTAAAGATCCACTTAGTACAAGTAATGACAAAGAGAGAAGGGAGCTGTGACCTGCATTTATTTCATGGTTCAAAAGTAGTAGACTTGACCACTGAGGTCACATGTAGAGAGAGGAAGGAGGATGGAGTAAATGTCACACTGTGGTATGGAAACATTTCTTTGGACCACCAAATCTTCTTTCAAATGTTAGCTCATGTATAAATGAGTTTGTAGAAGAGAAGACCATGTGTTTTCATTTAAAGCTCTTATTATCCGTGCCAGATATGGGCAGTTAATGGGAGTCCCGGTACATCTGGTTCTTGTCCCTTACTTCTTATTGAATGCCACCACTGAGGTCACCAGTATTTTTTTTTACAAGAAAGAAATCGTGAAATGTCTAAAAATAACAACTTTGATGCCCCAAAACCATCTAGCAAGTTTAGTTTTTGGACCTCTGTATTTCTAAAACCCCGTGTACAGCAATGCTGCTGAGGTTCTCGTACACAATGGTGTAACTGTGTCTCTGTGTAAACATGTAGCTAGCTTAATACTAAGAAATCAGCACTGAAAATGTCCTTGTCAAAGAAGATAAAACATGGCAAAGGAGTTATGGTTAGGGTTATGTTGTGTAAGTTTTAGGACTGTGCTGAATTAGGGTAACAACACCTCTTTTGGTCCAATTCAGACACTGCTTGTTATTCTACATTTTTACCCTCCAAAAATACACAGAGCACTGGTTCTCATACGGACCCCAGACCACAATGAATTCCTATAATCTCTTTAACCTAGCGATGTAATAAAGGTCATCTATTAAATAATGAACATTTTGCTTTACAAAAGTCTGCATATAATGCAATTAAAATTATTTGTCCTATCTAGTGCCTCCAATTATTATGCTTCAGTGGGATACAGTTTAATAGTAAAAAATAAAGTCATGGTAACAATGGCTTTAAGAGCAACACACTTTGTCCGGTACGTACAAGCACATATTCAAACTTGAGCAAAAGATCAGTACAGTTTAGTTTAGAAGATTCTGCAGTACAGCCACACAGTGTTAAGGTTCAGGGTAGAGGGTATTTAATCCACTCTATACACTGTATATTTTGACCTTTGTGTTTTATTTGAAAGTCTACAAAATATAGTGATCAGAGGAAAATGACGGGGCATGAAATGCAAAATATGACTTTACACCGAACACTAGATTGAGAATCTTTACCTGAGACTGCACATTTCGGGTAATTATGTCAATTGTTTTTATTTCCAAAGGAGCTGGGACTATGGAGACGTTTTGTTACTTACTACTTACTAAAGTGACTGAGTAAGTGACATCTAAACCCCTTGAGAAGGACGTGGCGTTTTGGAGACATGGTCTTCTTTTGCTTGATTATTTTTAACAAACACGACGATGGTCACATATTAGTGCGAGCAACACAAGCCTGAGCTGGACAGATATGGGACTAAAGAAGTACAGATCTGTTGAATCCAATGTGTTGATGAAAGTATATAAAATCATCAACATAACCAACATTTATTATCACCTTCATCTCCATAACCACTATTTATTTTTATCATTATCAGTGTTATCATTTTCAATATCATTCATATGAAAAACAACAGTAATCAGAATCATCATTTAGTACTACACATTCACATTTTTTACATTCCTGTACATATTCTTATAAATAGTACAAGGCTTGTCTGACCTAAGCTGACAACCTCTGGTTGGTTGACATGAACACACAGCCAGCTTTAGTGGGTGTGGAAAACGTGGAGACACTGGCTTCTTGTTTGTTTGCTCCTTTGTATGGATAAATCTGTGATGTGTAAAGTATTTTGATAGTTTGATATTTTTAGATTTTGTACATGAAATGGACAGTGGACATTTTCTGAATTCAACAAGATTAAAAAAGTCTGAGCTGTTTTCCCCTAAAATGTATTGTCAGAATGCTTTTGAAATAACCGAAGACATCTAATAGAGTGCATTTTTGTAGTCCTAACCGGCATCGCCCACGGTTCCTTGCCAATGTGATTTTTCCATTGCAGAAAATAACATTTTATAATATATATATAAAATATATATTATATATAATAAAATATAAAAATAAATTTTGTTCAGCAAGATAACTTTCGCTAATGAACACCACCTTTAGGACTTTTAGGACACCACGACTAAACTTCACACTTAGTACACTTACTCTACAAGTTGTAAAGTCAGTGAGTCAGAATAGTTTGCAAGAGTATAAACACAACAAGGCTGTAAAGGCGGACTAGTGAGGAGATCAGTCTCTGTGTTTTAATGTCACCGACACACTCTGTAGTCTCATTTAGACACTTGTTATCAACTGCTGTTTTTAAGACGTTAAAACTTCAAAATTCACAGCTGGGGTATTTACTGATATATTTTATGTCATAGAAAAAAACATGAAAAACCAGAAAACCACGTCCTGGAAAACATGGAAAATCTATAAAGTTAGAGACTAGTTTTCCCGTCACACCTGGAAATTGATTAACCAAATTGATGACCAAATATCCTGGAAATAATCGTTCATCCTTGTCATTTTTAATTGCATTTTAGCCTGTGTTGTGGCCAACTTAATGTTATACTTAGAGGAAAACTTTAGTCAATTCAGAAAATGGGGAGAAAAAAAGACCTGGAAAACAATGTCTTGAAAAGAATTGGGTTCCCCTATATAAAGCATCTAACCAGGAACCCATTCAGAAAACCCATTGACTTCAACGACAGGGAAGCGGAAGTGCTAAAATGTATGTCTGTAAATTAGGTTCTAAAGTCAAGAGTCAGAAGATGCATATTCAGACATTTTACCAGTTTTGAAACCAGTCCATTGATATATTATGTTTGGGTTTACTGTCATGAATTATACATTAAATAAATGCATGCATTATAGCTATCATTTGAGGTACCACACCTTGAATAGAACATTTTGGTTTTTGCTGTCTTACCCAGGATCAGAGGAGAAGATTGACACAGAAGCCCAGCTTGTGTATAGCCTAGCTTAGCATGTTTTCTTAGCCTCACATGTATCCAATGCTAAGCTGGACATGAGAGACGACCAGCCAGCCTATTTTTTATATTTATACATACATTGTATTCAGTTTTTCTCTGATAATAGACTCTTTTTCACGTCTGACATTTTGAGATGAAATGGTAGGGTAACGCAAGTGTTATAAACGTGTGCTTGTAAAACTAATCAAGGTTCCATTCCATTTAGTGTAGCAGAGCCTTTCCAGTGAGCCAACATGCACAATAGCAGAACCCTGACTCTGTTTTACCTGAATGGAACTGAATCCTAATTAACGGTAATGCATGTGTTTACCCAACTATCTCATGTCAGAATGGCTGCTGTGAAAAAAGCCTATTGTTAATAAAGCAACTCTCTGTGCTTCCAGTCTTTGTACTAAGCTAGACTAAACAAGTTCTGGACATAGCTGTGTTCTGGATGCCAAATTTGGCGTAGCAAAGTCATGACCTGGATCTGGGGGTGGCTGTGGCTCAGAGGAAGAGCGAGTCGTCCACTAATCGGAAGGTCGTTGGTTTGTTCTCCGGCTCCTCCTGCCACATGTAGAAGTATCCTTGAGCAAGATACTGAACCCTTAACTGCTCCCGATGCTATGAATTGGTATGTGGATGTGTATGAATGTGTCTGTTCGATGGGCTTTGCCATCACTGAGTGAATGTGTGCGTGTGAAAGGGTGAATGTGGCACATAGTGTAAAAGTGCTTTGAGCGGTCTGAAGACTAGAAAGGCGCTATACAAATACAGGTCCATTTACCATTTACCATTTGATTAGCTAGTACTCATTGCCTTCATTGGTTTTGGAATGAGAGGTGGGAACGGGTAGGGTTATGGTAAGCCAATCAGTAAGGTGGATCGTGACTCATCCTGGGGAAAAAATATCATGTACTGGACATGGATGAAGCTGATATCAGTCTTCACTGACTCTGGGGAAGATGGCTGTGTTGTTTATTGCTACTTGAAGTGTTATTGTGTGTTTCTGCATATTTATTGTTAGCTGTAATGACTGCTTTTGATAAAGAACAAGTTTTAAAACAAAACAATTCAAAAAATGCAATGATTGTTTTTTCTGTACCAGTATTTTGTGGAGGAATACAACAGGTTTTGGGGAACTTGTATGGAAAAAAGCAATGGCCATAAAAGTTTAAATCTTATAAGCAACTGGATATGTAATTGTTAAATTGAATCACTACTACTGCTGAAATATGTTGTTATAAGTAGACCTACTGTAGATCTATTTTAAATGTCTAATTACATAAATTTTTTTATTTAAATCTAGCAGTACTGTATCTATGATTTGAATATTCTACAATTCAGTGTTCTAAATTAAAGCTGCGGGAGGTCGTTTTTATAAAAATAACCTTTTGTAATATTTTCTGAAACTTTCACTTTTACAGATAATCTGTGAAAAAATCTGCTTCCTCTGGCTCCTCCTAGTGCTCCTAATAGTATTTGCAAGAATCCACCGGGCCTGAAGGAAAACAACCAATCAAAGCAGAGGTATCTTTCTGTGCTCTGAAAGATGCTTTGGGTTGTAAGCTTGAAGATAGTTGATTGTTGAATCTCATTCCCAGAGTCCCAAAGCATCTGTATTTGTCACCCTGGGAATGAGACTCAACAATCAACTATCTTTCTCAATTCTTAATGGTTGTTTTTGTGATTGTTTCTCAGATTAACTGTCTCATGTACTACTGTCAGGATATAGTGAAAGTTTTAGCAAATATGACAAAAAGTTATGTTTATAAAAAAGACCTACTGCACAGTGGTATTCAGTTACTTATAGATTCAAGTCTTTATGGCAATTATTTGCTTCCATAAACCTCTCCCATAAGTCGGCTTACCCTTTAATTGATGAGAACACTAGTTGCCATGTGTCCCAGCAGATTCTTGGCTCCATCATGCTAATACCTTTGCAGCTTAGCATACACATGTACATTGTATACACCATATTGGGTGGTTCTTTAATGTGAGAAAGTGGGTGTAAATAACGTTTCCCATTAAACTCAATCAGTGTGTGGCTTTATTAGCTGATGGAACTTTATTTTTTAGATTTTTGATTTATTTTTGCAGCAGTATATTTGAGCTTTTTCTAAATGTAATATATGCGTATGTAGCAGTGCTGATGTTTAATGAAAATAAATAGCCCAAACTAATTTACAGCTATTAAAACCCTTAACTGCATTAAAGGATTTTTTGGGCCACTTGGGGAAGGCGTAACAAGCTGTAAAAACAACATGACATGATCGTCCGACAAAGTCCCCATCATTTGCTGCTAAATGCTAACTTTTTCTGTCTGCTGTTTGGTGTTGGATACGTAGCATATAGTGAGTTTGTCAGAGCTGTCTTGCCATCTGCAACTGTATTGTAATTACAATGTGCCAAAATATATGCAGAGTTTGTGATAATTCTTTGTGGGTTCATCACTCGCAGCCTATTTTCCCATTACACATAATCATTTCATCCATTGCTAAAAATGATTAGATTGTAGCTTTAAAGTTCACATTAGAAGGACAGTAACTACTTTCTTTTCTTACAAAACTGTATCATCATACTGAAGTGATGAAAGATCCCTAAAGTGAATGTCTCTTTGATGATAAGCTCTTCATCTACAAACAACTTTTGCTTCCATCACTCCAATACACGTCCCCCTTCTGCCCAACCATTGTCTTTTGGATTCACGTGCTTTAGTGGGACTGCAATTAAAGCTGAATAGCACATTAGGTAAAGGCAAAAGGGTAAACACTTGTTTTCTGGACAGAGCTGCAGTATAAGCACAAATGTTACTTTTTTAATTTTCTGGTTGGCACTCTTTTAGTTTTTTGCTATATAATGGTGGAACAAGTAATTTTCAAACAAAACACATAAAACACATTTTATTCGTAACCTTTTAGCAATTTACTTGATGTAATTTTAAAAGATTTATTTCACTATGTTGATATATATGTCTGGATGTGTGTATATGTGTGTGGAGATGTGCATGCATTGCTTACTGGCAGTTAGCTATCAGAAGGAAGGGATACTACATACATCCAGGTACAATTTTTTTGTTTGGGAAGTCTGATGGGTACTAGAGAGACAACCCAATGACATCTGCACCCTAGGAAACAACAGGAATGAGAATATTTTATTATTTATGTTAGGACAAAGCACAGTGGATTGTCTGACAGTAGCATCATAGAGCTCCCTTGGACGTGCATGTGTGTGTGTGTGTGTGTGTGTGTGTAATTATCTCATTATTTAGCCCTGGAGAGCTGCTGATTTCTTGTGTTTTAAATGTGCTGTAATCACAGATATTCAAATGTATGGATTTTTAAAGTGGCTCTGTCTGTATTGTTGCAGCAAGATGATGGTTTTATTGTTTTAAAAAATATGCAACGTGTTCTGGTCTGTGTTTTCATATTATGCATGTGCAGTACAGTGGCTTTCTTTTAGTGTTTTAGGAAAAGTCAATAAAAAAAATTGCTGAACCAGACTGATTATTTTCAACCCTTTCAAACCTCTTCATACTGTATACTGTTGGTCCATCAGGTTCACTGGTGAGTACAGTCCTTAAAATCTTTACTCAAGTAAAATACAAGTACTCCCATAAATAATGACTCAAGTAAAATTTAAAAAGTACCTTGTTAAGAAATTAGTCAAAGTACAAGTTACTTGCCATAATGTTTTTTTGTTGAGTGTGATTATTACAGCAATTATGAAAGTAACTTTAACGTTAAAGTTGGCATTATATTAGCTTAACTAACACACCAATTTAAAAGCCCGACAGACCAGTAGCTACAAGGTAAATTAATGTCATTCTCAGATTAAAAAGATTAAAGGACCAGTGTGTAGGATTCAGCGGCATCTAGCGTTATAGTCATATATAGCGTTATAGTCTTCACCTTCCCCTTCCAAGTGCAAACATTGAAACCACAGTGGCTGTGAAACACGCGAAAAGCCATATCTAGGGCTAATGTTCAACAATAGTAGCCTCCAAGGAAGGCGACCTGCAGCATCTTAAATGTTTCACACCGGACCTTTAATGTTACACATTGAAAATGAACATAGCTAACATTACCTAGCTTACTATGTTTTCATCTACAGTATGACTTCAATGGTAAATGGGCCTGTACTTGTATAGCGCCTTTCTAGTCTTCCGACCACTCAAAGTGCTTTTACACTACGTGCCACATTCACCCTTTCACACACATTCACTCAGTGATGGCAAAGTCCATCGAACAGAAACTAACACACTCATCACACTCTGATTCAGTATCTTGCTCAAGGACACTTCGACATGTGGCGGGAGGAGCCAGGGATCTAACCAACAACCAACCTTCCGATTAGGGGACGACACACTCTGTCTCTGAGCCACAGCCGCTTGTGCTTGCAGAGGTTAGAGGTTAGTACTGTATTACCCATAAATCCTGGATCTGGCTCAATGTTTTTACAGGATTCACATAAACATCGGAAACAAATAACACTGCTTTCCGTTTCATGGGAAGTAGAGTTTGTTAATCCCCGTATTTAGAGCTGTAACGAAGGTATAAATGGCAAATGTAGTGAAGTAAAAAGTAGATTTCTGCCTCAAACATATACTCAAGTTATGTACAAAAAGTATACAAAATGTTTTCATCTTTGTCACAGAATCCAGACAAAGACTGGCCCTTCCATGTTCGCAGTTGCTTTAGTTTATTTTATGATTTTATCTTAATACACATGCTAATACTCACTCAGCATGGATGACTTGGATGCATCTCCAAACACACAGCATTAATTTAATATATACAGTTAAAGAGCAAACACTTTCTTCTTCTATTATTGTTCTGTTGTAAGAGTATCACACCATATTGTCTTTAAACCAGGATAATAGCTGTGCTACAAAGAGAGTAACTGATCCTGCAATGTCTCTGCATGTTAAGAATAAAGCCATGCTTGCTCATTACAGTATGTTTTAAGTATTCATGTGAATTCCTAGCAAACTTTTTGTTTTGTCTCTCCTAACAGGGGAAGTGGTGGGATTTACAATTCAAATTGGGCCACTTGAATTAGCAATGAGGACAAATTAGCATAAGAAAATGTAGCCAGGTGAAGAGGGCCCTTCAGTGCCTGTGCTATGGTTTCAGCATAACCTTTGGGACTGACAGATGCTCTGTTCTATGCTACAGAGCTGCAGCTGACATTCACACATATTCTGTAGTTAAAGATGTCTAGTGGAGCAGCAGCAATCTAAGTAGGGCCATCAAAAGAGTTAACCCACTTCTGCTCTAATTAGCTTATTCGTTTTTTGTTGTTGGTTTTTTTTGTGAAAATGTGACCTTACTGAATGTCTCATTTACAGACCACTAAAGGTCAAGGGGACCGTAGAGTGATGTAGGCCGGTTGTACCACAGAAAACAGATCTTGAAATTTCCCGGTCTCCTCTCACCAGTAAAGTTACAGACAAGCCCTCTAATACTACTCGCATCCTCCACCATGGATATGGATAGACACCTTGCTCATTTAACTGATGCATACATATATGATTTTAAGACAAATCAAATAAATTTAGCTAGGGTAAAAATGATTGTTTTACTTAAAGGACCAGTGTGTAGGATTTAGTGGCATCTAGCAGTGAAGTTGCAGACTGCTTGAACTTGTGTCTGTATTTGACAACCTGGGAATGAGAACGGGCGAAGGAGAAACTATGGCGGAAGAAACTTGAAAAAAATGTGAAAGGCAGTTCGTTCTGGGCTACTGTAGAAACATGGCGGACTCCATGGAAGGCCCACACCGTCTGTAGATAAAAAATCATTCTAAGTTAACTAAGGTAACAAAAATACAAAGATTCTTATATTCAGGTGATTATACACTAATAAAAACACACCTATGAATATTATATTCCATTTCTGAAAAAAGATCCTCCTAAATGTTACACACTGGACCTTTAATTGCCAGGAGCCATTAGTTTTCTAGTCCTCTGATTAAGTACTAAGGGTTGAATATCATAGTACAATCTAATCACAACTTCTCTTTGATTTGGATCCCCATCCAACAACTCATTCAACTATTTGGCAGGATTAACAGAAAGGAAGAGAATTCTTCGTAACAAAGGCATGCACTGGCAAATACCTGAAAAAAATGTGAGCATGGGACATTGTACGCCTTCACTAACTGCACTAACTGATATGAACACACCATTCTTAAAAATATCCTTCACCCGTTTTAGACCATTCCTGAACCATAACTTGAATGCTGCATCCATGACTGAGGGTGGAAAATGTGCATTAGCCACCACAAATTCCTTGTATGTGTAAAAACCTACCTGGCAATAAATCTGATTCTGATTCTGACTCTGATTCTGATGACTGGGAGAGTGGGCAAAGCCTGTCTGTGCTCAAAATGTGTCTGGAACTGGGATGAAAAGCGATGTGAGCCCCTCACAATGGTGTTTAACAAGTGGTAGTAGTGCATAAACTAAAGAAGGTAGGGACACAGGGTGGGTGGAATGTTGTTCTATTTCGACCCAAACTGCAGAGGCCAGATACTGATCAGTCATAACATTGTGAGCACTGACGGGTGAAGTGAATAACACTGATTATCTGGTTATCATGTCTCCTGTCAGTGGGTGGGATATATCAGGCAGTAAGTAAACATTTTGTCCTTAAAGTTGATGTGTTAGAAGCAGGAAAAATGGGCAGCGTGAGGATCTGAACGACTTTGACAAGGGTCACATTGTGATGGCTAGATGACTGGGTCAGAGCATCTCCAAACCTGCAGCTCTTGTGGGGTGTTCCCAGTCTGCAGTGGTCAGTACCTATCAAAAGTGCTCCAAGGAAGGAAAAGTGGTGACCGGAGACAGGGTCATGGGGGTCCAAGGCTCACTGATGCACGGAGTGAAGGCTGGCCCGTGTGGTCCGATCCAACAGACGAACTACTGTAGCTCAAACCGCCGAAACAGTTAATGCTCGTTCTGATAGCAAGGTGTCAGAACCCACAGTGCAGTGCTGAAAGTCACGCAGCCTCCGCCTCACTCGCTTTGGAGAGACTCCGGACTGTAAATACCTGAAGTCTTGTGGCAGAAAACAGAGACTGGTCCTATAATTAAACCTCCGAAGCACCTGGAATACACTACCTAGTGAATTGCTATGTGTGGACCTTGGCACGCTGAGGATTAAGATGAGATCTGCATGCATATTCACACCTGAGAAACCCATAAAAGCCATTAACAGAACTTCTGACAACATTACAGCAATCTAAGTGAAAAACAATTTATGCACCAGTGAATTGTGTTAGGAGTCTTATCGTTGCCTTGAGGATGCTCTGTCACGACCTCTGACACAATATTGGTGGACCCAAACGCATGACTCTGGCACAGACGAAGATGTAGACATAAATTGATATTTATATCATTCAAACAAAAAGGCACTCTCAAGGAGGATATCAAAATTCAAAACAAAAGGCGCTCTCAAGGAGGATATGAAAATACAAAACAAAACTCAAACTTCAATTGAAACATGAAATAACCTGAACACTGGGCTCGAACACTTGATGATACTCTTTACCAACTGAACAAGACAAACTGACAAAGACAAAGGGAGACAAGGACTATTTATACTAGGTGTAAGTGAAGACAGGTGAAAACAATCAGGGACGGGGCAGACACATTTACAAAGGCTGGAAATCACACAAAGGGAAGTCAGGGTTTGAATTGTGAGGGGAAAGGTGAGTACAAAATAAAACAGGAAGGACTAAACATGACCAGAGCGCTTTCCTTGATCGGCTTGACTTTGCTGACATGGAATGTGGAGTGGACCTTTAATGATCTGGGAAGACCAAGACGCACAGAAACCGGGTTAATTTTTCAATTAAATGTTATTTGTATTGTGCCAATTCATAACAGAAGTTATCTCAGGACGCTTTTCCAATAGAGCAGGTCTAGACCAAACTATGTAGTAATAATAATAATATTATTAGGGACCGAGCCAGCGACCGGCAAGGTCCCTATTGTTTTTGCTTGATTTCTTCTTCTTACCTATTATTATTTTTAGCCCCCTTCGACTGCGTTTTTGCCCCCCTGAACATATACGAAAAGTCAATTTTATTTGGCAAAGTTGTCAGGCCTGGTGAAAATGGGGATATTCTATGCGTCGCTTTTGGGTTGGCCACTAGGTGGCGCTACTATCATAAAAAATGCGTTTAGGCTAATAACTTCTGCATAGTTTGTCGCACATTCAAAAAACTCATATCCACACGTTCGGTGAATGGAGCTGAATCTCCCCATGTATGCCCCGCCCACTTCCGCCTATAATTTTTTTTCGCTAGAGCGCGAAATGTCTTTAAACTACTTTTTCGTATTCCTCCTGCACGCTTTGTCCGATTCGCACGAAATTTTTCACCTAGCACCTGGGTACCGCCCGTGCAAAAAGAGTAATTTGAACATTTTTGAAATTTAAAAAAATAAGAATGCAATAAAATTCCAACTTCCTGTATATTTTTCGTCAAAAAA